GGTGGACGGCTTGCAGGACTCCGATCTTGAATAATTAAGCCCGGGCCGATCGCAATTTGATTAATTATTAATTCGAATTTAAAATGACGCTTTAGTGGGCGATTTAATATCACATGATGTCACTGGGTGTAATCCCGCAAAACTGTGGATGATCGGAGTGCATTTCGCGTCCGGGTGCTCGCGTTTGATTGGCGATTTGGCGAGCAGGGTTTCCGCGGATACGGGCTCGTCATTAAAATGATTACATGTGACGGGTGCGATTATAATTACCACGGGAAACCGGATGCCATCGGGGCCTGCGGAAACCGCACAGCCCACAAATCCTTGGAGACGATATTTCGAAAGTCGACATCCGAGCGCGCACGTCAAGAGGAACTAAACGCGGGAATACTTCCCGGTGCATACAAGGGAAGTGCATTAAAGGATATTACACCGAACCACGGGGGCCTACACCCGAGTTTTGGGGATGCCACCTTTGGGGAAACTTTCCGGAAGTTCTGCGAAATTCCGTGATGGTGCATCCATTATTAGGCCCGGCTTCTTCCGTGAGAAAGCTGCCGGAGAGGTTCGATCATCATCCACAAGATGTGGGGAAACTGCACTGAGAATAAAAGCTAGTTGACTCAAATTCATAATTTTACTATGCTTCCGACTTTATGCTACGGTTACTTGAACTCAATTCAAGAAAAAAAAAAAAAAAGAAAAATTTGTTCCGGGTAAATCAATCTGATTTTCGATGCTGCTGGATTTTCAATTGCACTTGAATGCACGCTGCAATGCAACGAGGCAACGCCGAGTCGAGTGGACGGAAGATGCTTAATGAGCACTTGTTTCGCACATGTCGGTGCATTCCGCATTTCCTTAATTGCGCAACGGCCCGATAGGACCAATCGGGATCCGCTCGATGATACCCCAATGAGTATTTACTCTTAACGGATAAAGCAATTATTTTCAACGTTTCGTTCGGTAACGAGGAAGAACAATGGGTGATTCTTGTTAAACAGGGCGAGTTAATATCGCCAGATGCAGACGCTCGTCTCTCGTTGACGAGTTTTCATTTCCCTCCTTGACAAATCTCGAACAGCTGACAGCGGAAGCATCTCCCGCAGCTGCTCGGTTCTTTCGACGTTCGCCGGTAATATATCCGCATAAGTCGGCATTTAATTTATCGCCGATAGCGTATCACGGAGCCCGGTTGACTAATTTAACGAATCGGCCACGGGGGAGCCGACATCTGCGCCGGGGTGCTCGCAAAGTACGGGAAAGCGAATCTCCCGACTTCTGGGCGAGATTGAAACTTGATAAAGCGCAAAGTACAACTACTAACGAGTGCGCTTGTGCTAACGAGCGGCAATGGAATGCTAAATTAACATCCCGTTTATCCAAACTTGCGCGGATTCCGCGTTCCGGCTCCACGCGTGAAAGCGACCCGCGAGTCCGGTCCTCGAAACTCGCAAATCTTCGCCGGAATTTCCTCCTAGGTTTTTAATCAAGCCATCTTCTGTCTTAAGGTGTTACGAAAGGGTCATTCTATGCATACCAAAACGTCAAAATATTAATGAAACTTTTCGCCACTGGATGCACGCAATAATTAGAAACTTTAGCCGGTGATTATGAAGGCCCTAAGGAAGGTCTTGAAACTCACGAAATCTCATAATTTACGAGATGAGATACGGGATAAGAGCGGCGCTTATAATTTTAATCATTTTTGCGGCGCAACGAGGCGTCATATTTTTTTTTTGTGCGGCTCGCGGTATTGACGTTCCACAGAAATTTTCCGAGAATAACCATCGGTGGAGAGTCTCGACGGGCATTGTTTCCCACGGAAAATTTCACGAATACCACGGGGAAATGCGGGGAAAAATGTCGCTTTGGAAAATAATCTGGATAGCAGCTGACAATTTTCGGCGGGATTTATGCGGCTCTCGGAAGTTCGGGATAAGTCCAGGATCAGAAAAAGAGGAATTAATGGCTAGGAGCGACGTTACGTTTAATCGCGTCGTCGATTCTCGATGGTGTATTGTTCTTAGAAGTCCGAAGAGCCGCCGAGCCGAGTAATTAATAGACCTCGCCTCCGTGTAGGATGTACATATTTGGGAATCTCGCGTGTACGAAGCCCGGCAACTTTGAAACTATATCACGAAGTGCAAGATTTCAGATTACTTGGACCACCTGGTACCGCGCCAAGCATTACGGAAACACACCTCGAGAAAGCATAATTCAGGTCCTGAAAATTGGGCCCGTTAAGTGCGCGTCTTACGAAGACAGAGTAGCGTAGAAAATTCATTTGCATAATCGAAGGGGAAATAAATGTCCCCGTGAAAAAATTCCGCGTCCTCCAACGCGTCGCAACGAAAACGTTATTTATTTGAAAACACATCCCATCGTCTCCCGACGCATCCGAAATAACGTAATTGCCATTCGAACGATACGGAAATTAATCCACCCGGTTGTTATGCACGTACAGCTAATTAATGCATGAATATGGAAAGGTATTACTTTACTTCAATTTCGCGGAGCGCGGGTGGAGGATCCCCACGGGCGTTCAATTTCGAAATGATTATTTTTCAACGTTCGGTGCCATTACCTGGGCTCGGAAGTTTTTCGGGTATTTAAATTAATATATAAATACGACCGGGATGCATTCCCTGGTAAGAGATGTTTGCCGAGCCGGGATTATTCCGGATCCGATCTCGAAACGAGCTGCCGTAAAGCTCTCCGCGCGGACCGAGGAAAATATGTTTCGTCGTGCAATGAGCTCCTATTAATTACCGTATCTGGTAGCAGCTGTCGGGGGATATTATTGCCAAGACAGGCGGTTGTTTCGCAATGCTCAGATGTGTACGCCACTCGGAGTTAACGAAGAGCGCCTCCTAGACGAGGACCAGGAGAGCCGACCCTGCTGGGATTCTTCGGCCCTGTTTTGTGTACGGCCAAGTTTCCGGAGACTCGGCCTTATTGCGGCGCGCCGGGCATGTGCTTCGAAACTTTCAAGCAGCTTTTACTTAGCGCCGTGTCAAACATCGTAACCCTTTACCGAGAAACTCGCGACGCCGGGAAAAACGTAGCGCGGAACCGTGCCAACGGCCCTCCACCCTTCGAGACGAGTCGAAAGAAGTCTCCGGGAGAGAAACGGTCACTTTGAAGGGACGTCTCCTCATTTTTCCGGGGCCAAGACGGAAATGCGTCCTTTCCGGTTCCGGAGAACCTCGCCAATTCAGGTGACCTGGTTTTAAGGTGAATCCCTCGATTCGAATAAGGCACTTTTTATCAAGGATCGAACTGTCCGAAACTTTGACACATGACTCGTGATCGCCTAAAAATTGTCCCGCAACCACGCTGGGAAAAAGAGATTCATTGAATCCAAGAAATCTTTCTGTAAATTGTACCAAAGAAATGTCCTGTTAAGTCAAAAAGTAATTATGGGGGTGAAATAATTATTCTCCGAATTAACAAAATATTTCTTCGGCACTATGGAATGAAATGTTTCTTTGGTTCTGTGACGCTTTTTTTTCAGTGTATGCTAATTGTGAGTTGGCAGAGTGCTCCTCAAAATTTGGATTTTTTTCCCCATCTCTGAGGGAAATTTCTTCGGAAACGCACTGCTCCTGACGTTGGTCGGTCCACGTCGTAGCCTTCGAGAAATCCCCGGCCAATTTGGAGCTGATCGGTTGACCTGTTTTAACTGTTGAAACGATCGATGAAGCTTGGTTCCGCGACGTGCATATTACATCTTGGCTCCATCTCCGGAGAACTCGAGTACACCTCTACGACAAAATCTCGCAGGACCTAAAAAATGACGAGCTTCTATTTTCGAGAAAAACGAGGAATTTCGGTATCTCGCGCTTTAACCTTTAAAAGTCGAGCTCAAAATACGACTCGTCAATTTTTCGACAACGTGACGTTCGATGACTGGTATCGATCGTATTACCCCGATAAAAATACTCATGTGTTGTATAAAAATGTATGTAAATTCCCATCGATTTTTATCAGTGTACGCATACGTGGTGCAGTTTCAAGTCGGTTTTGGGTAAAACCGAGAAGACCGTGTGGTTTTCCGTTGACCCGGTTTCCGAGGCGAGCACGCGGGAGAATGTGACCGTAAAAATTAATTGTCATTTTCATATTAAATGCAGCCGTGTACGTGGAGTGAGAAATACTAACTGCGCGGGGTAACTTGACATCTGTGCCAGAGTAGTAAAGAGGCGGTGCCCTTTTCGTGGACCTTTTCCCTAATCCTCTTGTAATGACTCTTAATGACCGACAATCACGCAAATGCGTCCACGTGGAGTGCACTGATAAAAATGCCCATGTATGGAAATTTCCACGGATTTTTATCAGAGTGACGACCCTTTAAAGCCACTCGGTGAGAATGATTTCAAGCAGGATTAATATTCGATTTCGAATGAATATGCGCCATCAGAGGTTGCTCATTGGCTCCGTAACCCATCCTCGATCCAACGATCTCAATTCCGTTTCTCTGGGTTACGAGTCCTGGAAATAGCCCATCTTATTCGCTTCCGCCCTGGTCATAACTGCAATGTCAGGACGCTTTTACCAGGACCTCGTAATGCCACGGTTTTATTCATTGGCTGGCCGAATGCGTTCCTGGAGCGTGCCAAATAGAAGGAACGCACAAAGGGAACGCCGGGACAAAGTAAAAGTGACCGACGAAACCCGGGGATTTTCTTCGGCCATTTTCCGCCCTCCTCGAAATCGGCTTTTCTTCCACTGCGATCTTGTTGCATTGCTATCTCCTTGCATTGCGATCGAATGCCGAGTCTTGGCAGCCAGCCGAGACACGGAATTCTCCTCAAACGTTATATGCGGAGATTGAACACCGAATGGTTCCCGATCCGAATACCATTATCGCGCGATAATAAAATCGACGTGTCGCTCCAGAATAAACGTTGAAAGCATTATTTGGAATTTTGGCAGAATCGAATGGCGGAGGCAGAGGAGGCATCAGAGGTGGCGGAGGAGGAGGCTGCGATGGGAACGAGAGGAGGATGGTTGACATCACGAGGAACAAACCGATCAAAGTCGCCGTCAGAGTCCAAGTTCCAGTTCGAGATCATCCTAAAGTAAGTATTCCATGAATATTTGTTATCGGGGGATTATTCGGTTTATCAGCCGTGGTGTGAAAGGCAGGGTCGAGACCGACCTTACGGACATTTATCGGAGGGTGGTCGATAACTGGGCGCGAGGTGTTACGATTTAGGCAATATCGAGGCATCCGGTCGAAATTGCAGGTTCCCCTCGGTATTAGGTATTATTATTTCAGATCGTAATCAGGGCACGCATTATGCGCTCCCATGAATATGGATTCGAGTCAAGTTGGAAACGCGCGCATAATAAATTCCCGGTGAAGCTGTCATACGTGCGGCGCAATTAGTTGACCGAAATGCCAGGGCGGGCGAAACTCCCCCGAATTGTGCGCAGCTCGAACTTTGTCCCACCTTGAAGAGCGAACCTTTAGGTGCCCCGCTGCAAATGCCGCGTCCCGAAAGAAAATGTCAGAAAGAGGGGGAAAAAAAAACGAAACTCAGAAGCGCCTGTCTCGGTCGACTTGTTGCACCGCCGAGGGAAACTTGTATATTCCGGGATAATTATTCGGCGTCTTCGAGGAGCAGGAAGCGCCTTTGATGTGCCTCGAAGAGTGATCAGAGACTCCGGGAAACGGTTTGCAGACATCGGATTCGGTTCTTTCGAAAGATTAAACGAGGCTGCGGCGGTGAGTCACGAGACCGGATGGAGGTCTCCCAGGGCAGAGTTTTCATCTTTTCCAAGGAAGAACCCTTCCTTGCGCGACCCGGCTGCTCGTCATCATCGCCGAGGTCCTCCATCCATCAAGTCCCGTCCTAGACACCATTTTCTCCCGGCTCTTTCAGTCCCATTCATGGGCTTTCAAGGGAGCCTCAAACCGCGTCAAGAGATTTACCGGGATCCGCGTTATCTGTACACCCTCGATCTGACTTGGGCTTCTCGACGTGGAGGAGGAACCTCGAGGAGGGGCAAGGCGCGAGGATAATCGACGACCTCGAGATCGCAGTCGAATTTTTATTACCGGCCTCCACCATTTTGCAAAGCGCGCCCCGAAGAGAAACGGCGACCAAGAACGGAAGTGCACCGATACTCCATTCGGCGCATGAGGAATGGCGACGTGTGCAACTGCAACTGCCAAATAGTCGAACCGTGGAGAAATGTATGGCAGAGATTGATGTCCCCCCGGAATCCTACGGCCATTTGTTTACATGGCCGGACGAGAAACTAAAAACGAAGGAAACGAGACGTTGTTTGCGCGACATGCCTCTTCGAGGCAGTCGGGATTGCGGGATTTCGCGTTCCCGGGGAGATTCATTGCCGGTGGGATTAGTCACGAGAGAAGAAATCGACGGGCCAGAAAATACCGACGAGACCTCCGTCCAGGACTTTCGACCGAGCTGGACCTCATCTTCGATCATTTTTATTCGAATCGAGCGATGCGAGGGGAATCCACCATAAACGAGGGAGCGGGAGACCGGAATCCGGGAAAAGTTCCCAGAGATGGGACCATTTGACAAAACTAGCAATGCTTCACTGAGTAAGAGACTGTTCCCGGCAACTTGTAGCAATAAAGAGAACACCTACGGGTCCGGGTTCTTATTTCACGGGAAGCGGAACGCGGTGGAAAAGGAACCGCCGAGGCGAGGAAAGGACACGGCTCTCCTTCTGGACGAAGTTCCGCCGAGTCGAGCCGGACCGCGAGAGGGTGCTGATTAAAGTGTCCCCCTGCTGGGTCAGCCCTCTCGACCTGGGATTCCAGGCGGACATGTCCGGGAGCCATCGGGACGGTGATTGCAGTCTGCTGGATAGGCAAAGCAAGCGAGCTGATGCTTAGGTGCCAGGTTGCTGGCTGGGTCGATTTGTCTTGGTTAACCGCGGAAGCTTCAATGGTCGGACCGCCCTGGTAATGACTTTGTCGAACCGCGCGGCGAGAAAATCGAACCAAACTCGATTGCGAATCGACAAACGATGGTCGATCGTGCAGATCGGATTTAGGGGAGGAACGAAACGGGACCTTCTTCGGCGAGGATCCATCGAAACTGGCTGACGTCTCCCGTGCCGTAATGTCTCCTCCCGGCTCTTCCAGGAATCTTGCGGAGTTTCCAGGAATCGAGGACTCCGAAGATCGACGAGGAATCGCGCTCTGGTTTACTTCCAGACGTTGCCGATGAGCCACCGATATTCAGAGCCAATAACGATTCGATGCGAAACGGGAAAACTTGGGGAGAATTTATTTCATAAAATGTAGCTGAACCGTGGAAGCGATAAAAATGGATCATAAAAGTTGTAAAACAAGGACGAGAGACTCTTGGAGTCTTCGCATCAGCAGACCGCCGGAAAGTGCTGCGTCGACTAGTTTCCACGCACTTTTAGAGCTCGATGAAGCAAACGAGACCATTCTCCAGGAAACAATCTCCCCAAGGACTCCTCCTGTTCAAGGCTCCCCGTGATGGTTCCTTCGGCACGCGACCTGGGAAAAAATCTCACTCAATTAATACCGCACTCGGAGAAAAAGACATTTGCACTTTTAGCAAAGGACGGCATTGCCAACAAAGTTTTGCTCTTACTGCGGGAATAATCGCACCGAGGATAAAAATATGGGCAATCGAATGAAAATTATTAAGCTAGTGAAATTTTTTGTTACGACTCGGAATTTTCTGCGTGCATCCTCGTCGACGTATACACCCGATTATCCATGTCGAGGCTTAATGCGATCGCCGCTGCCCGAATAACCCTGGCGTCGGTTAGCCAGGATTTCCTCCGGGAAACTTCTCGAGGAGTTCCTGCGGGAACGCGAGGTCGATGCTCCTTGCAGTTTATAAGGCGAAAGGTGGCCTTTCGGGGCGAACTACCCCATCGAACGATTCCTCCTTCGGCAAGCTTCCGAGTTGTTGACTACTACTGCTTTCAGTAGAACCGGCGACACTCTCCACTTCTGCGGAGTGCACCTTACTTCGAGAGGCTCGGGAAAGAATGGCTATCCCTGGCGAACTTTGAATCCGCGGGCCCGGATCTCGGAGGGGTACCTCCACCTTTTCATTTTCCCCGCAACTTTCAGATAGAGGATAACACGGAAAAAAAAACAGAATGGTCAGGAAAACCACAATTGGGATACCCTCCCCATGAGGTTATGGCACCTTGACAATTGTTATCGTTGTTTTCATGACCATTCTTTTTTTTTCCGGGAAGAACTGGACCAAAAGGGAACCGATACAGCGGTGGATTATCGTACATCAAGGTTGCCATTAGTTCCCGATTACGTCGTTCATGTTTTACGGAGATCAAAAGACTGCCTTATGACCCTCCCTTGCAACGTGCATCTTGCACAGTCCGGAAGGACGCACCAGGTCGTTGTTGCAGCTCCCCGGGAGAGACTAAACGAGAGTAAAAGGACAGTAATGGGCGCCACTTAGGTGGAGGCTGGGAGAAAAAGATTAACAGGGGGTTTAATCTCGCCATGTTTCGTCGAATGGAGTACTCGCGTCCTCGCGCTAGATTTGCCGAACTCGTTTAGCCCCCTCGTAGATTTGTACCATTAACGAGGCTACTTATTCAGAGACGTGAGACTTATACGGTAGCACTCTCGACTCGCCCTTTTTCCCCTCCCTTTATTTCATTTTCCTCGGGAATTAAATTGCCTAAAAGGAAAAATAGCCGCTGTCCTTGCTATCCCAGTTTCGGGGTTTACCGTGCCAGCTCCGGTGCAGGGCCGTGAATCACCCTTCGATTAAAATCCCGTCAAATAATGTCAGGACGGGTTAGGACATTCTCGGGAAATTTATCCGCAGGAGTCGCGTCAGGAGACACGTCGGACAATCCGCGAATTCGCGTCGGATCTGCTGCGGAAACGCTATGCGGGGATAAATTTGGGGCGCGTAAAGCGCCGCGGGAGGTTTCTAGCGCAATACTAAATTTTACTATGCAATTAACCGAATGGCGTCCCGGCGCTGTCGCACGTTCCGATAGCTTACAGGCGCGTAATGTTTCCTGCTTAAAACGGGTACGGCGAATGATATCGAGAGTGCGGTGTGCGACAATTATGGCAACCCGTCATCCTTTCGAGCACGGGGCTCTATAGCCATAGAATCCACGATAGAGCCTGTAACTTTAAAGCTCTTATTTTTCTCCGTGTATTCTCGCTCCCCCAACGAATTGACCATTTTTTTTTACAATAGTCACTAATTTTCGGGCCAATTAATAAATCGATCGCTCGTGGCCTCCGACGGCTTCGTCCGGCATTTGTATAAAAATAATTCACGATCTCGTGCACGCGCGTTTGTTTTCATGGAGGGTCATAGCACCGAATGAATTTTAATTAATTTCGACTGATTCCAGCGCTTTTTAATTTTCCTCCGAAGGGCGATCCCTCCCTCCCTCGATTTAAACGGCTCGATGGAGCACTCCCTTTTCCCGATGAAACGCCACGCGGGTTTGCAACCGGGTATCGATTGTAACTTGTACATTGGAATCTAAATTATTCGCGTTGCGTTTACGCCGCCCTCTTTTCCGCGTAGAAAGCCGTATTTGTTAATTGAACCGGCGATAACGGCACCCCCATTACACAGAGGACGGCATGTTTGCTCGATGTCGATTATTCCCTCAGCAATTAAATATTAGCTGAGAAAAATCGAGCCTTTATTTAGCCGGCGAATCGGCTACTTGGTTCGGGTATATTTAAGATGAAATCCTACTCGAGGAAAGAGAGGCAAACGTTCTGCAGATATGAATTTCCGTTTTTCAGGAAATTTCATGTATTTCATCTAAGCGTCGGAGTTGGTTAAAGTCGCGGACTCACAAAGCTTCGTATCGCCCGGACGAAGTGGGACTTAAATATATCTCAAGGCTCATATTTCTCAAGGTGCTCGTGTCATGAGCTCGCATTTCGGCAAGACTGACATATTACGCTGGCAGGGGTACACTTTCATAAATTCATCCGTTCCCTCTTCGACCGAGGGAGCACAAACACGCGCCATGGTGCAGCACGGCTTGCATCCATTTGCAGACCTCTGGAGTAAATAAAACCTCGTTGCAACGGCTCGCAAAGCAAATACCCATATAGGAATCTTGAACCCACGTCGGCCGTGAAATCGCGACAAACGTGTAATAGCGAGAGAAGTCCGCCAAAGGAAAAAATCCGCCTGTAGCGTACATTAGCATTAAAAAAATAAAATCGCCCGTGGCGGTTCTCCAAATAACAAAAGCCCGCAAAATACCAAGTAAAGCAAAAAAAGAATTCACAGTCGTGACAAGAAATTTCACCTGCCGCGACAAACTCGAACCCTTGAAAATGGGCCTGCAAAATTTCTCTTAATTTAAAAACCTCTACGTTCGATATAATTGCAAAAATTTTCTTTTTTTATTGGTGCAATGATTCCGTCGTATCGAAGGAGATATTACTGCGTAATGAAGCCGACGAAGTCCGACAGCCATAGAATTTCGAATCGATCTCGGCCGTCTATAAGTTGTCCGGCATAATTCCCGATTCCAAAGCCGAGCATTAATTTAATACGTGTCGGTGGTCGGCAATTCGGATCTTCGGGAAAACGTAGCTCAAGCAGCGCATTCCTTCGATCTCTCTAAATGCAAAACCACGGCCGGGCGGATTTATCGGTATTCCCAATCACCAGCTATTGGAAAACAGAGATCTCCCCGGCGGTTCCGGTCCGGTTTCGCCGTTTCTTTTTATTAGCCGGTGAAAGGGCCCGGGGAAAAGGAGATAGTTCTCTCGCGGAGAAGGTCTCGGGGCTTTTCATGTCATTTGCGAGCGGGATTTGCGTCCACCGGGGCGCTTCCTGCTTTTCCGCCCACCCCTCTTTTCCCGCCCACCGGCCGGAGTGAATAGTCGCGGTTGTTTATCATCCGCGAACAACTCGCTCGTTATTCGCGCGAATTTTCCCAACTAGACGCCGCTGACGAGGGATTTCAAGGGACATAAGGGAAAGCGCCGGAAAACCGTGTTAAGGGTAACGAGCGCTTGACGTAAGGCTCGGCACTCGACGTCGACGTCGACGTCGACGGTCGCGACCTGGCCTGGACCGCGAGATCCCCGACGAGTTTCCCTCGCGGAAGGTGGAGGAGATATATTTTCAGGGGATTAGGTCGGCACTTATTTGTTCCGAGGAGTCTCCGGGAACCCTCCCGGGTTTACGAGAATCCACGTTTGTCCGGGAATTATGTCAGTTCTCGAGGGCGAGGGGCGAGAGCATCGTTACTTTCTCCCTTTTTTCCCCAAATTGCTACCGCGAGTATTTACTAGTGATTTACTAGTGATATGACATCTCGCTTTCGTTTGCACCAATCACTCGAGTTGCGATAAAAATGGCTCGAATACGTGCTTGACTCGAGTTTAACCAGTTAAAATACTCGACTCGTCACACCACCAGTAGTTACCCTCCGCGTGCGATATTCCGACGCGTCTGCGATAAACGCCACCTGGATCCGCTATCGATGATTCAGGTCGCGATATTTGCATTATTCCGCGTACTCCAAAATTGCGAGGGGAACAATGAATAATGAGATGCTCGCCGTACCTGGGGGGAGTTAGAATTCTGCCAGGTGGTTCACCCCTTCCGCGATATATCTGGATCACCTGGGTGTAAATTTTTTTTTTCCCACGAAATGAAATTTCCCCCGGACAAAAAAGGGTCGCGTTGCGAAAGCTTCCGAAGAGAACTCGAATAATCCAGGAACTCGCGGGGGAGATTCGCGGATCCGGAGAGTTAGTATCAATTTGCGAGGCCGTGCTTACGATTTCGAATGGCCGGCTCGTCGAAGCCCCTGGAACCGTCATTGGCCCGCGGAGAGAACAATGATTCCTAATTTAGTCATGCGAAATTTCGGCCGTTAGGCCATTAGGACATTATCGAAGTTGCCGAAGCCCAATTACCTGAACGCACCGACCGAATGCACGTTTAATTAGAGCCTCCGGCATACAAAGCTCCGGCTCGGTACTCTCCGTGCACCCGCGATGCATTACCCGGGCAACGGCAAAAACGCTGTTGGTTACCTTGTTTTAGATTTGCGCCGAAACTTCGCTCGACAAACTTCCCTTAACTTCTTCGGAGCACCCTGCGCCCTGCTTCGACCTGCAGGGCACGTTTCCCTTTCCGAGTTGTTGCATCGCTCTCAATAAGTGATCCCACCCTGGGAAAAGTTAGAGACAATACCCCGACAAACAGTGGCCCTTGCATTACCGATCAGCTGATTTAGCGCGAGGCCGAAATTCGAGAGAGCTTTTGAAGTCACGGCTCCCTCGCGGAAAAAAAAGTAATTCGGTTGCAATTACTGTAACGACGTGGTTAAAATACCGTGGCAAGTGAAGCCACGCAAATGGTTAAATTGACTACATGGTAAAATAAACGTAAGATAGGACATAGTAGGACAACTACCAAGGTTGTATGTTGCCTTGCATTAAGGTTACGATTACCACAATTGTGGTTTTCCTCGCCATTCAATTTTTTCCCGCGCTCGCTTCCTGGCCAAAGAACGCTGAAAATGAAAACGTTTCCGGGCCAGGGAAATATTTCCCGTCGATTAATCGTTCGCTCAACAAAGAGAGGCGTCAGCTTCCGGCTCCGAAGCAGCTCGGGAATAAATATGCAAACGACTCGGGAAACGCAGTAAACGTTACAGAGGTATACACATTGCCGGGCATAAACCGTAATTTCAACGAATTGCTTCTGTAATGGAATCCTCTGACTTAAGGAGGGAGATATTAAAAGCCATTTCATTCTAGCGAATCCCCGGCACCGTGTGCGCCATTTCTTCCTTTCGCGTAATTGACCGTGACTTCCGCCGGAGGTTATTTCGAAAATCCATAACTTTTCGGAGAGGTAGACCGATAACGCACTCCAGCGACCTGCTGAAAAGTCCGATTCGATTTTTCTTCCAGTTTAACTTCGTCGGAAAGCTTCTGGGACCGAAAGGCAATTCCCTGAAGCGGTTGCAGGAGGACACGATGTGCAAAATGGCGGTTCTTGGACGGGGCTCGATGAAGGACCGACAGAAAGTAAGACCATCCACTTTATATATAGCTTACATCCTGTCAACGAAGTTTTCCACCGTTAATTTTTGCATGTCTCTCCCGATAATTATTTTCCATGTGTACCGAACTCATTGGAGCTTCTCGCTATCGTTTCCGGGATTGTTTCTCCGGCACTGTCGGGAATAGTTAAACAATCGATAAAAGCTACCGACTCGACGGCAGTTCCACGGTATTCGGCAATAAACGTATTGAACGAGTAGTAAATATTGGGATATCGGATTTCGCTTTATGGCATTTTCCCATCGAGGCAAATAAACTCGACGTGTGATGTAAAAAATGGTGGAAACGAAGTATCCACCCCCGACGCCTACTTGCTCGTAAATGGAAAATTGGATCAATTATTACCGGGTCGTGGAGTCGCGGAGAATCTGGGTTTTAATTAGAGTTAACGGCCGCTTCGGCCTGGGGATTTTATTGGGCCGGTCACTCGTTCCCTTCTTAGGGGTCTCTGAAAGACCATTTTCGAGAAATTGAACTTGCCGAGCTCGTCCGAGAGAAATCCCCGTAAAACCACTAGGCCACTTTGAGGTGGAAGGGTTGACGAGGAGTTCGCCATTGCATTTGGGACATCAAGGGAAATTGTGGCACCGGAAATGGTGTCGTCGCTGCGTTCATCCCCGAACGACGTGCGGAAGAGTCATAAAGCCTCCGCCGCGATCCTAAGACTCCATTTTACGAGAAACAGCGTCTCCACCCTGAGAAAAAAAGATTAGTTGACTGAAACAAATATATATATATATATATATCGTCGCCTGAATCATATATGACCGCAGGAAACAATTAATTCCTTGAGAAGAAAAATTATATCCTCGATTTAAACGAATTTTCTTTATTCTTCCTGGCATTTCTTTGGACGCAGAAATTTGTAATGTTTCTCCCGCTTAAATCCCGCTCTTTATTGCTCGGCATTTTTCCGGAAGGATCCGCGCACTTTCGACGGGGTGTTCATAAATAAGACGGCCACTCCTCGGCTTCCATTTTTGTCTGAGGAATTTTGTAGAATCCGCTCTTCCCGCGGGGGTTCGGGCCACCCCTTGTCGAAAGCTCGCGTGCTCTAGGGGAAATATCGCTAGGGACCCCGCTCCTATTTGTTCCGTAACTCAGGGATGCGCCGAGAGAGAGATGCCGGCCGTCGAAGCGATAGATTTGAAAAAGTGCACGCCGACCGTGGGAAACCTGTCAGCTGTTGAATTTCGCCCGGAGATCGTATTTCTCGGGGTGCATTTGCAACTTGTGCCGGGTGCATAAATCGCGACAAAGGTGCCGCGGCATTAATCCTTACCCCGACCTACCTCATCTCCTCTCGAGTAGCTTCCTTCGGAAAAACATGGTCATTGGGCATTAACGTCTTATGAAAGTGTCATATACAATAATATATATATACCAGAAATTTAAAATATTTATAAAACTTTTCCCTAAACTGAGTGCAGCATAGTCATAGTCGAGGGTTAAAATTTAAAATTCCTTGCATTCAGTTTGAATAAATATTTTATAAATATTTGGACATTTTGATATATATGGAATGACCCTTTCGTAGCATTTTAAGATTTTTGAAGTTCTTGCCGAATGAAATTTTTTCGGGCTCGGGGAAGGAGACAAAAAAGTGACGCCGAAGAAGACGGCGCGAGAAGTCGCGAATCGCGATCCTCGAGGACGCGTACAAGTTTTAAATATCCCAGGCAGAAGGCGGCCGTTCCCGAAGTGCGGTTCCGAAATTAGCGGAGAACAACTCTCGTTATGGGGACATAATGGGCACGGGGTAGTATCGCGAAATTGTCCTCGCCTCTATTAATAGGAGCATTTGTACTCAACGGACCGAGGAACACAGATTAGGACACATTGTAAACCCGGTGTTCTGCATGTAGCGATTATCAACTCCTGCCATCCTCGTAGGTAACTACTTTTCCAAGTACCTGGGTCAACTGCATCTGCAACTGCATCTGCAGCTGCATCGATCTCTACGGACGAGCGACTGGCATCGGAATAAATTAAGGCTGAGAAAGGCACAAAAAAGCGCTCTCTTAGGAGCCCGGAATATTTAGTAGGTGCGAGGGCCGCTTTTTATGACGGGGACATTAAAACTTTCGGTATGGTAATAGCAGGTGTCTATGCAAATGATATTGATGTCGATGTCACCATCCATAATGTGACGCGATGGAGTACACCCCCGTGGGTGCGATTTCCTTGATCGAGTTTCGAAAGTATATTATGCATCGTAATTTGATCCAAGAGGAGGTCTCTCGTCCTTGCCGAAATGGCCCCCGAGTAGTTCGGTTAATGAAAACGCCGTGACTTGTGAAGACTCGAATTGTACAATTTGTTCCGGGCTATATAATAAGCCGTATGCTCCGTGCGAGTTATGCTCTTGAATTTCTCGGTTTCGCGTCGGAGCGGCTCGGTCGTTTTCTGCATAATATGATTTAATCAAGTCCGTACAAACCGTAACGGAATTAAATGCCCTCGCTTTGTCTCGCTACGCGTCTCGAAATTCCCGACTTATCTACGGTCCATTTCTACGGAATAACAACGCAAAAGCGAGAGAGCTGCGAGAAGATCGGATCGATGCCCTCCGAGCTCCTTTTTTACGGTATAAAACCGAATAATTTAGCGAAGGATTCCTCCAATTCGTTAATTAATATGCACGCCCCGCGAAGTTTCAACGTTCTCCAAGATGGCGGCGGTTCCTTCAGGCGGGGAACTCAAAGCGTCGCAGGTTCGCGCGGAATAAGAATCCGGAGCTTTCAACTAAATTGCGATATCCTCGATGAATTTCCCCGCGTCTAAGAGGAGTCCCTTTTCGAAAGGAAACGAAAGGAATGCCTTTGTTTCCCGCGGGAGTCAACTCTTCTCTCGAGCCGTTAACGTTAAGTATGCGCGGAGGTTCGGAGGACGTCGCAAGGAAATGTCCGCGGAAAGAGGATACCTTCGAGGGCCGATAAAAGATAAAAAGTTGGCGGCTGGCAAAGGTCCTCCGGGACGTAACTATCGCGGTCGTATAACGACGATTGTAAATTTTTCTATTAAGATCGCCGATAAATTTGACGAGCTCGTAAATTCCTGTACACGTCGCGCCACGGAGGCCCTCCGCGGAAACCCGGAGTGCGTATCTCTCCAGTCCATGCAATTAGTTCGGCTAAGTACAGACGTTCGGGAAATGGATCCCCTTCGTTAAGATCTTCGACACAGATGTCAAGCCCGCTCTCTGAGCTCCGCAGCCCGCAAATGGGCCAAGTTTCGCCGCCATTGTTAATCGCGGAGGAAACAGGCGATAACGCTTGCCGCTAAACTTCGAGAGACCCGAAACGTAAAAATCCTCCGATAAAGTCCCGGTCCTGTTTTCCGAATTTCAGGTCCGGACGCCCTTTCGGCAAGCCTTTCGATTTTCTCCAGTTCGATCGAACCTGGAAATTCAGGCGCGACTCGATTTCTTTTCCCCCGTATTTTCGGGAATAATTGAAATTTGCAGTCGCGCGCGCGGTAACTCCGTATAAATTCCGCGGACGCGGGAAACTTTGCCAATATTCCGGCCTGCCTGCGTTTCCTTCCGCTTTATGCGGCAAAGAAAGTTGCGAGCAGTCGCGGGCTGCCGCCATATTCCTGGACACGTGAAAAATCTTATTCGTAAATATGGATGAAAGGAGGAGCGACGAGCAGTCGAGATACTTCGGATGGACGTCTTCATCTCGTTGTCTGTTTCAGGAGGAGGAACTGCGCCTCAGCGGCGACCCGAAGTTTTCCCACCTGATGGAAGACCTGCACGTCGAGATCTCCGCGTATGCAACTCCTGCGGAAGCTCACGCAAGAATTGCATACGCCTTGGACGAGGTCCGGCGATTCCTAGTCCCGGTAAGCCAGTCATTAATACCTGGATAATTAATTTGAAAATCCACCGGGCAATTCGAGAAAGCCGGGAACGCCGGAATCCTGGTTCCCGGGATTTTAGGAGGGACCATATGCGCCGCCACGGTTTAAAATGAAAACCCGCCATTGTTCTTGCTCGGGTTCCGTACAGCGTCCCTGTAATATCTCACGGGCCAGCAACAGGCTGTGGAACGCGAAAGCTTTGCTCCCTGGCCCCGTCTCTCCGTCCCAAGGTAAACGATCCTCCTTCGACCGTGAAAACTGTACAAATAGGTTTTGCCCTCGAATGCCAAATTTGCAGTGATCATCCAGCTGCATCCGCGAGGTCCATTGAGTTGCATCGACCACGTGGATCCTGCACCAGAAATTGAACCCCTCCTTGCAACGTCCACCGGATTAACGAGAAACGTCCTTTCGTCTCTTAGAAAGAAGAAAGCCGTTCTTCCCCAAGGGGCAGAACTCTGACATTTTCCTTGCAGATCTCGTTGGAACTCCGAGTGGCGTAACCCCTTACGTGGTCACTATTAAAATTTCAGACCTACATGAAAGCTAGGCTGGACCGTGCAGAGTGGATTGCGGGGCATCTTCTCATGAAAGAAGACTCTTTCTGTTCGCGATCTCCCTCGGGTCGTCGTCGCCATTTGTATGTAAGAATGGTCCCGGAAAATTCGTTCAAAGTGACGAGTTCGTCCGGGAATATGGAATATTCCGCAGGATTTATCAATTAGTACGGGAGAGGGGAAGATCGAGTTGAATTCGGAAACAGTCTTGCATTACGGGGGATGATCTCGTTACCATCGAGCGTACAGTTTCAGCCCCCGAGGGTACATTAAACCGAAACTACGTCCTTAGCCGTGTTCCCGAGGTGCATACCAGGACTCCGAGGACGAGAACCAAGCGATTTATCATTTCCATTTTCCGGGCCGCGGTACGTTCGCGCAAATGAATTTTTCACCCCGCAGCAGTGTTTGACGCCGTCCACCCCGAAGTGCGGATCTTCATCCCCGATCCGCGACAACGGCCCTGCAGAATTAAACCCCGACGCTTTCCCACTTCATCCATGCTCGCCAAGTTGCAGGTGCATCCGTCTAGGTGTACCTTTACTCCTAGTTTTATTCCCCCAGAAGTTTGGCCCTCACGAGCTGGTCTGGCCCGGATCCGCAGACAATCCTGTCCATTATGTAGAACCGCGTCAAGAATTAAGAGACCCGGTTCGTTTTCGGGAAACTCCGCATCGGGTTCCTGCAAAACGGCGAATGCGCGAACTCGAGACCTTCGCGATGGGTTCCTCAATTTTCCATGCCGGCACATGATTGCGACTGAATAAGTGAACGGGCGGAATGCGCACCTGCAATCAAAGAGAAAAAGAAACGCCATCGATTTAAGATGGAGTGAAACCCACAAATCAGTCGATTCGAATAAGGCACTTTCATTTAAGGGTATTGGACCGAACCGTCCGAAACATTGACACATAACTCGTAAAATCCTGATAGTGTTTTTGGTGATTTTCAACGATTTCCAGTGATCTCTGCTTGCGATTTCCAGATAATATCGAGCATCGAAGGTTTCGGCGCTCGCCGGGATTTTCGGATGCTGGGATTTTCCGTTCCAATTTCGGGGAAACTCGGGGCGCCTTATTTTCGGGAAAGACGTAGCCCGGCATATACGGGAATCCGATTAACGTGTCTTCATCCAGGTTATATCATATTCCGTTAGTTTGACGTACTGCTAGCAGAGTTCCAGGAACCGGGTGCGGCGGCGCTGTAAAGTCCCACGAGGTGAGCCTCCCCCAGGATTAACGCGAAAACGTGCTCCCAGCGATTTCGCCATGCCAAGATCGGATTCAATTAGGTTAGCGTTTGATAGGCGAGAAGTTCTTCGGCGAGCTCCCCCTAACTCGGGTTTAATCCGGCCCCATAAAACGGGAGGAGAAGACGTAAGGAAAATGTTTTTCCGACCCTCGAAATTCGGGGGAACGGCGAGTCGGAACCGTAGCTATCGGGACTCGTTCCCAGGGAGAGATTCGGCCAAGTTGGGAGTTCATTTAACACGAGCCTGGTAATTATGTGGATTCGGAGTGGGCCCGAGTCCTGTTTGCTTTGCAAACACGGCGTACGCGTCGGTGGGTGTAAACCGTTCTTTGTCCGATCCCTTCCAGTTCCAGTTCGTCTCTAAAGCCAGAAAGGCCTTTACCCCGGTGACCCGGGCGGGGGAAGAAGAAAAAAAAAAGAAACGAGAGCTGCTCCTTTGAATTAGTCGAAAGCTCGGTCGCCTTTCCGGGAGCGGCGGCTTTTTATCGGGATCGGATTATTATCCCATTATGCCGGCCACCCTGTGCCTTCGCGATCGCGCGAGTAGAAATGATAATTGAGCATGATATCCTGATAAATGAGGAACTGATCAGGGCCCTGTTATCATCTCTACTCGAGATGCTGAAATAAATATATAATAATTCCGTATACGGAATTATTCTGCAAAAGGCGGATTCTTTCCGCCTCTCCAAGGTCGAGTGATCTCGAAAAGCCGCGGTTTCCCGACCGCTCGATAATTTCCCTGGAAGAATGGAACGGAACGCTCCCGGAGTCCTTCGGCGCAGGAGAGGCCTTCCCCTCGGCAAGCCCTGTCGGTACAAGGGGAACGCGGAATGCTCCTTTGAATACTTAAAAGCTCGGGCGCCTTCCAAGGGAACGGCGTTTCCGTTGAGATATTATTCCCATTACCGCGCGGCCTGAGCACTCTACTCGTTACGATAATTAACCCGGACCTATCGAGGGCCGATTCCTCGCGGTGACATTTTTCCCGTCCTCCAGGGTGAGGAGAATGTCTGAACTCCTGGAGAACGAATCGCGACTTCCTGGGGGATTCCGTAACATCTGCTAACTTTCTGGGATTAGGGTCTCCGGGTCGTCCAGGCGGCGCGTCCATTACTCATGTTCACGGGAAGATACCGTAACCTTTGGTAATTCCCGTAATTCATTCGTTACACGTGCGTTGGTCTCTCTGATCTTCGGACGTGTTCGCGTGGACCATTTATTATGCCGACTCGTTCCTCGGATGCACCCTGCCCCCGGTGCCGTAATTTCGCTGCACCGGCGTCTGATGCTACTTAGCCACTTATCTGATGCGCAGTCACGCCTAATGTCCGTTTCGGCTGTTTATCTCATTTCCGCGAGGGAGGTAATGGGGATTTCATTCCTCCACCCTAGGAAAAGAAATTCCAAAAATCCAAAACTTGCGGCAAAAATTTTATTAGATTGCAATACTATTTTTAAGAGGCCCTCGAAGACCTCGAAGGTCTTTCTCGCCCTTAACGTCCGAGACCGAGCTTCGGAGATGACGGAGTCTGCTCGCATTTCGGCGAGTTTGAAATTCCCCGGATACCTCGAAATTTTCTAACCGTGTCACGTCTATTTTCGCGATTGACATTCGACGGGGGTTACGGAGTTAGTCCTCAAACGTTCGCACGTTTTTCCCGGGCCGATCCATCTCGCGATCCTGGACGTCGAGGATGGGCGACGCCATGCAGCGTCGTTTATTCGCGCCGCGTAAATTCCAGGGCCGATAAGAACCCAGGATAAGTTAATCTCCGTGCTCGTCTAAATTGCTACTAAAGTACACGGAGTGCCACTTTTTGGCCGATATTCCTGGCGCGATAAAAGATGTTGACGTCCGGGTAAAGGACTCGGTCTTTTCAGGGAGTTCCCGTTTCCCTGGGCGGCACTTCTCGAGGACGAGCCGCGGTAATGGGTTCCTCTCCTTTAATGTCTCCGCGAAGGCGATATCTGGTTCTAATAAAATAGTTTACCGGCCCCATAATTGGCTTTCCGATGGACCTCCACCGAATCGCGGCTGACCTCCGATTCGTTCCGCTCTGGACTGGCTACCTTTTGTTATAATTGGCCGGACACCAATTAGTTCCGATCGGAAGGGAAAAAATGGAATCCAGGGGTCGGGTACGTACGTGGCCTGGCACATTGGTGGATGCAATTATGGCGCAATCACTGAAGGGGGTCCCAGGAAAGGAAGGCGGTTCTGGTGGTGGGGCGGAATCGCCGGCCGAGCCGATCAATTGGGCTTCGCCGGAGCCGAACCGTTGTTCTTGTATGCTCGGGGAATATTTATCGAGCGTTTGTAACCTCTCTTTTTTCGGGAAAGTTCCTAATTGCCGCGGCTCCGCTGCCCCTTTTCCGCGGCCCGCTTTAAAGCTCCCTTTCAATGCCGCTTTTATCCTGTCGCCATTCATTGCGCTCATCCGGTTAACACGGAATGTAAAACGCTTAAAGAATGGCTTTTAGGCCGGACACTATTCCTCTGCCGTCCAATTTTTTCCGACTTCGAGTAATCGAATTAGTTCCACTCCAAAATGGGATTCCATTGTCCCGGGTTTGTTTAGATTCTTCCTGGGCGGATCCTTACGGGACTCGAGGTGATATGAAAGGTTCATTCTATATGTATCAAAATTTCAAAATATTTATTAAAGAAATATAGAATGACCTTTTTATAACACGTTAATCGTTGCAAGGTCTAATTGCAGTTCCTTTCCCGTAAATGTAATGCCGTGTACACCGTTGCACCTTCTTATTAACCGATCCGACGAAATTGAGAACCAGCCTCCCTCGGGGGGAAACGAATTCCAGCTCCATTCCCATCCGCGATCTCCGTCCTGCTCGGAAATGAGAAATCGAAGGAAATCGTCCTTCGACGACTCCTTCGAGGGGGGAACTGGAACTAATCCCACCTTTATTACTCGGAATTCGTATGATCGGTAAATGGAGCGATTTCACGCGGATCGAATTGACCAAAGCGCTCGCACGCAGAAAAATAATTCAAAGTCTACTTCCTACAACAACGTGAAAACATGCAAATGAGCCGAAATTTGTATCCAGATTTTTGTTACATTGACACGAAAAAGAACAATTATTTCCCCGGGGCAACAGAAATTCTATTCACAGTTGCAATATTCTTTCCTAGCGACTGCAATTTGTATACCACTCGTTCGTTTGAGTAGTGATAACATTTTCTGCCTGTTAACAAATTAACCTGCTAACTTAGCGAGACATTTTTTTCTAAAGAAAAATCTACTATTCGATGTAATTGTCGTTTTTGCGACTATTCCTGCAGTAAAAGCCAAACTTGATCGGCAATGCTGTCCTTTGTTAAAAGTGGAAATGTGTAGTTTTCATGTAGAGCGCTCACAGAGGGAAAATATTTTTAACCATCGGTGGAATAATTTTCTCCTCTCGAATTCGGAAACGTAATCCGTCCGGAAATTTTCTCTTAATTACGTGACATGCCAAAGTATCGCAACGACGGCGTTTTCCTTCGTTCCTCTGTGGATCTTTTCGGTACACCGAAGTCCAAACCATATTCTTCGGTAGCGCGATCTCGACGCCCACCGTTGGTCTCGTACGAGCCGTTGGGCGAGAAAATTGCGTTTTGCATTATGCATGGAATTACGCCTCATGGGGTATTCATTTAAGTAAATACATTGTCGGCCGCTTGCGATTCCAGAGGCGACGCTCGTTAAAACGCCATCAGCCTCCCCAATTTGTCCGGGGCATAACTTTTTTTTTTTCACCCGCCGTCACCTCGTGTAATAAGTTCCGCGGCGTCCATTAAGTTCAACCAAATTGGACGAGTTTTTCGGGAGAACTATGACGGCGGAAAACGCTCGCCGGGGACGTCGCGTCCGCACATATACAATTTCTTGTTTCGCCTCTCCCCGAGGTCGGAGGATGTTGCTAGACATGCGAGAACTTCCTTGGAAGTTCCGCGAATGAATTAGGCGTTGCCGGCCCGAAGTGTCGAACTCCCGAAGAATGTCGGCCCGCGAGAAATAACGATTCCGCCGAAACTTCGCCCGGTGAAGTAAACAGACTCGCCACATTTATCAAGTACCGAGTCTCGAGTTTCAAGTTTAAGGGTGAGATTATTCCGGCCAACTTTCGGGACGCCGAAGTGTTGTCCAGACGTGCCCACGTTGGAAGACCTCGGCACCGTCGATTATTTCCTCCACCTTGTTCGGCTCTCCCTCGACGAATCGCCCCACTCCCAGCGAAGGAATTCCCGTATAGAAATTTGCATTCGACAATGAAAAGGAAATACGCTAAATAGTAACAAATAACGACGTACAATTACTTTCGATTTCCAGTTGTTACCCCTTTCGTTAAGGTTCTAAGGTGGGACCACCATGAAAGTACTCCGCGAGAAAAAACGATCATCAAAATCGGTTAACCCGGGGAAAAGTTATGCTCGAAGGTACGTGAATAGAAATATACATGTCTCCTTTCTCGTTCCAGGACTACAACGACGACATCAGACAGGAGCAGATGTGGGAGATGCAGATCCTCTCGACGCAGTGCCGCGAGGGCTCGCAAACCGCCGAGGCGCCCTCGAGTCCCGAGACAAATTCCGACCCGGCAAACTCGCCAACGGCCGCGACCACGGCGAACTGCATCGACGGGCAGGACAACGCGTCCAGGCCGACTCCTTCGCCGCCTAACCCGGCGACCCTGAAGACGCAGGGCACGGTCCTCCAGGCGGTCACCTCGACGTTAGGTAGGTCCCGAAAGGAATCCCGGCTCGGTTTTTAGAGATTTCTTGAATATCGGTGCGATACTCATCGTCCTCAGGCGGCCGGAAGCGACCTCTGCTGCCCAGAGGAAAGCCAGCCATGTCGCCCACCAAGAGGACCGTGATGTCGTTCCTGGCGCGGGCCCGCGCCGCGCAGAACAACGACCCACTGCAGCCACCATCTTCGATGGTGGGCCCGACGCATCCGCAGCCTCCGACTCCTCTGATCCAAACTGCGCTGCAGCTGCCGGCAGGGGCGCTGCAGGCGGGTTCCCAGGCCCCGCAGGTCGCGGCTCAGGTCTCGCAGATGCAGCTGGCGGCGCAGGCTCCGCACCCCACGGCCTCTCAACGGCAGTCCCTGGTACCTCCGCACACCCAGCACCAAGTGCTGCCCCCGGCGATACACGGCCTCCTTCACGCTCAGTAAGAATCGGCTTATCCGCCATCTCATAAATAATGCAGTTTGGGAAAAATTGCAAAAATTGGGATACGCCTCCCTCGTAAGGTAAATCAGGGTAATAAGGCCCATATGGATAACAAGGCCTACGTTTATTTTTCACTATAGAATAAAGGTGCCGAGTTTGCGGCTCCTTTGTTCTATAATTTTTTAATCCCATTTTCGTTTAGAATTGTATTCTATTTTTCATGGTTTGTGACCAGTGAAGGTTTCCCCTTCCCAAAATAGTTTCTATTTTAGCTTTTACAGGCCTTTAAGTGATGGGCCTTGTTACTCTGAGGTACCTTGTGACGATCGCTCGCGTGAACAGGGAACGAGTTGTGGAACGATAGAAGTTAGAAGGGACGTGATAACATCGAGTGGAAGTAATGGCGCGCTCTTCATGAAGCCTTGAAAATGTTCCCAGTCTCGTTGTCGTCGTTTTTTACAGGGCCGACATCGGATCGTTGGGTAGTCCAATATTGTCCAGGGTATGGATGGAACCGTAAATCTCTGGAAAACCTCGTTTCCCTGCTCGGGAAACGACAAACGCGTTACATTAATGAAAGAGCGACAAGGGATGGACGGAAATTCAGCGCGTTGTAAATGTTACCGAGGAAAAAAGGTCGGTTGACTCGAAGAAATGTCCATTGATAAAACAAAGTCCTGCGGTGAAATCCGTCCAAAGAAGCGTCAGGAAGAACGAAATAATTATTTCTTGCGATTGCATATGATTCAGGCAACGATATACATATCTGTCTCGGTCAGCTAATTTTTTTCCTCCGTGAAACATTGAATGTCGCTTAATGACCCGAGACCGCAAATTCTGAGAGGACGAAGATTTAGAGGATAAAAATCCAATTTCATCCCACGCTGCACTATGCAGGGAGAGGGGTCAATCGAGTCCTCCGATATCGATAGCCTATCTCAAGGAACAGGTTGCTCGTCAAAGGGGTGCGACGAAGTCGCACCCCGCGCGTTCCTCGACCTCCGGTTTTCCGCCGCGGAAATCGGATGCGATCTGAAATCTTTGAAAGGACGACGGACCTTATCCTCGACGCGGTTTAGGGACGGGACGCGGCATGAGCGGTCGAAACGCGGCGATTTTCGGGATCCGCCCGAAATTTGGGCCGGCTGCGCCACCCGCTGCGCATTAATGATTAATTATGGCATGTTAATTGCATCAAGGCGCGCAAGCGTGCTCCTTGTCGCGCAAGAGTAACACGCTCTGTACCCCTGACGAGGTGCCTATGTGCACCGCGAACTTGGCCGGAAGTTCGAGAATGCATTTAGTCGCGATGCGGTTGCGTGCAAGGCGGTTACGAGTGGGCACGTAATTGGTCCTGAGTAGAACGCCGGCATTACTGCTCGTCCAGGGAACCGCGAGTCGGAATTGCGAGGTCCACAAGAATTGATGGCGTCCTCGGCCGCTTCGCGGGGGGTCCTGATAACCGACTCGGAGTCCGGCCGATAATGCGCCCGACCCGACGCTACTCGCGATCGGGAACACGGAATCGCTCTTAACGGCCGATTAGTGTCTCATGGACCCAATCTCGACATCTCGAATCCCGTCCAAACGCTGTCGAGGTGGACGCGCCAAGCCGAGCTTTGACGAGCGTCGTAAAAAATTCGACTTTTCGGGGGAACGAGATAGACCGGGGCATCGATGCATCTCTTGCCTTGCCCATGTTGAGCCCATGTTTAAGTTTATTAAATAAATCCCGATCTCGTCGAGAAGATACCCCGCGACTCGCTTTTGTCTGCGGGGCTTCGACCGAGACATCTTCCACCGGTGGTCTCCCCTCACTGCCGTTGCACCCTCGCACCTGTACTTTTCATTGTGCTAACGAGCTTTCCCGGCGCCCTTCTGGGGCACTAATACCCTCCAAACACGAAATTCCCCAACGCGGGCCATGTTTGGCTCGTTACCTGCCCTCGCTAGATTACTCTCAATTTCCCGGGTAAAAAATTCCCGGCGAACTTCCGCCGGGAAAAAGAGTCTCCCTCCCAGGGGAGCAGCCCTCCGCGCGTAAGATCGGAGATCGATGGGAATCGTAAATCCCGATTGAATCCAAGGAACGCCGGTAAACGGTTTGGCGTACAGCGAAATTAGCAAATGAATTTGCTGCAGCAGCGGAAAAAAATATTGTTACTCAACTACTCAAAGGAAGGAGCGATATACAATTTGTTCTCGTCCCGGTTCTCTCCCTTTCCGCGAACAAAGAGGAACCGGAAACTCTTCTCGGGGCATCGGGAGGGGACTGTTTTCGGGGTTTCTCGGAGAACCCGGAAACGAGCGCACCTGGGGAAAAGGCACACCTCCGAGGTAACGGATTTTGCGACCCTCCATCCTGCTCGTGGAGAACTAACTGGCTGGATAGGAACTCGAGAAAATGTACGAGCACTCGTAGACCCTGCCGAGTCCAACGAGCTGGAGGGATTTTGATTGACTCCAATCGGCCCATCGAACGTAATCGATTTCGAGGGAAAGTCGAGGCGAGAGTCCCTCGTAAGTAGGAGCTTGTCGAACCCGACTGGCGACTCCATAATTCAGGGACCCGGGGCCGGAAACCGAAAAGGGGCCAATGGAAGAGCAAAAATCGACCTTATCACTTAGGCAGATGCGAGGGCGTCCCATTTCTCCCAGAGGCCGTGTCGCGTGCCAATTCCACCATATAAACCGACCGAGTGTATGATTCTGCCAAATCTCCAGGCCGAGGTAATCGCGGATTTAATGGTCCCCGACTACTCGCGAACTCGGCCAGCTCCTCTCTTGAACGCGGTTACCGATCATTCCGAAATCCCTTTTGATGACCCCGAGTAGAAAGAAAAACTCTCGGGAAAGTAATAATGTCCGCGATGCGAGTAAAACTCGAGTAAAGACGGGGATTCCGTGCTTGCAAACGGAGAATGTGCCGTTCCCCGGAATTGGGTTCATCGAAGGGGGCTTTGTGGTGTAAGAGAATTCCCTATTACTTCTATAAATAATTGAACAGCGCGGCTTAATGGGAACCAACGAGCTGTGCTATCCATTCCCTTTGAAACGGAGTTCTGAAAACATTGGGGCAGCGTCGAAACGTTGACCTCTTCCTTAACTTCTACAAACGATGTCTTGTCAACTAGGGCCGCCATGAAAAATAAACGTTAAGGGCGCCCACAATACCCGCGACTTGTAATGCCTCGCGGGGACATCGATAGACGGCTCGTTTTAATGGCAAAGAATCGACGAGGGTACATATGGAAGCGATTTTTGACAAGTGCTCTTCTTCGTGTAAAAAAAACGCAACGACGTAATTTGCAAGTACTTTTAACTAGGAAGGAGTTACTTAGTCGAAAATCTTTTCCATCTATGCCAATGCCATCTAGGGGTTGAAATCATCGGCCCACTTTGGTGGTGAACGCCCTTAATGTCGGGCCGTGTTTCTCAAGTCTCTCGATATTTTTCAGATGAACGCCGACGAGACTCGCAGGACAGTCTTGGAGCATCGACGAGAACTCTTGACCGATCGAGGGTACTCGTCCGATTTCGCAATGCCCGAAATAATTATCGACAAATACTGGCAGTCGGTCGAGTGCTCTCAAATACACCCCGAGATCGGAAATAATTCAACTTGTTCCAGATTACAGTCTTGCGCAACATTTGCATCCCCCCGGGCTCGAATCAACCCCAGCCTCGGCTTCGACGTCATTGCCCTTTCTGCAACACGTGGAGGGTGCTCAATGATGCAGAAACCTGCCCCGAAGAAGGGGAATGTCAATGAACAAACACTGAACTTCCCCCAGCGTGGATTTTCTCGAATCCGAGGAATTTCGAAAAAGAAGTCTCTTAGCGCGGGCGTCGACAAAGGCCTTAATGCAGGAGAAAATGGCGGACTTCTCGCAAGAGGGACTTTCTTCCCTTCCTTCCTATATAACGCACTCGCGGGATCCGGCGAATATTTCGCCGAAGCACATCCCATTCAAGTTGGATCGAATCCAATTCGAAGTTTGAGAAGCTCGGCCTAAGACTGTGGAAAGCGATCCTTGGTCTTCGCAGGATTAAGCCTCCCACATTTTTCAGGATCCACCCAACACCTCCACCCGAGCCGCAGCTTTGCTTCCTTAAGGGGATGTAAAAGTGGCATCTGAAGGGTCAATCGCCCGTGAAAGTATTCCCCGAATAGGGTGTACCAATTTATGTGAAATTTTCCCACGCGAACGAGGAGACCCCGAGGTAGGTCCTGAAACTCGAGAGATTTCATTTTTTATCAGAAATATTGAAAGTGACTATAGACAAATTATCTTAAAATTGAAATTTCACGGGCGTCGGGACCTTTTTTATAGTCTCTGCATTCACGTTGTAAGGTTTAAAATAATTCGGTACACCCAGTTCGGGGATAGGTTTCATAAACGAGACCTCTTTGCCGCCACTTTCGCATGACCTTAAATCACGTTCCAGAAGTACGATCATAAGTCCGGAAGATGGAGTCCGGAATTCCCCCCGACGACATCGGCGCTATTTTTGCTGATCCACGATTTTACTATGCAGGCGTCCGAGTCGGTGCAAGCGTTGCAGTCGGCCCCGAATTCGAGGATTCGCGATGCAATCGCTCGCCACCGTCAGTGTCTTCGTTGGTAGTCGTGCGACGGTAACTCGGAGTTCCATTACCGCGAGGCAGCCCCTTGAGGAATTAACGATCGGCCGAGTTTACTCGAGCGAATTTACGATCGATGAACTTCGACTGAAAGGCTCGATTCGACGACGCTCCCAGAAATTGACGCCGGCGACTCCGTTCTCGTAATACCGGGGTCCGATGGCTCGTAAAAGGGACGTTTCCGGGTCGAAAAATTTATCCAGATAGTTAGGAGTTAATATCCCCCCGCCGCCATCTTGGACGCCGTTTAACGACGAGCTCTTGACCCGACGTTCTAATTATTTCCTCCTGGTATCGCGTAATCGTTGGAACCGTATCTGTTGCAGGAGGGCCGCAGGCACAACAATGGTCCCCATCCTGCGGGAGGACTTCATGGCTGGGGTCAACCTCGTATAAAACTTCATCCTTGACATCAGAGACATATATGGGCGCAAAGTCATCACGTAGCGTAACTGAATTTGCGAATCTAAGAAAGGCGAAGTATTAATAATCGTTGTCCAATAAACAGTAACGGCACGAGTCACCTCTATAGAGAGCGCACGGAAAAGAGAAGAATCCTCGGGAAAAGCACAATTGGGGTAACCTTCCCAGATCATGGCAACCGGAGTAACTCGGTAATAGAACAAGTCGCACCTTTTAGCAACGAATGCATATTTTACTACTTAAGGAAAGAAATATGAGAACGCTGACTGGAGCATATGTGTAATGTGCGTAATCGCGGAATTTTTTTCTCGACGGTACACTTTCTAAATGGGCATTCACAATCATGCGTAATTTTGGAACAACTCGTCCCTCGTAGTGTACAATGATTAAATGGTGAAGTAAACCTTACTATGTTACTCTGGTTCCTGCAATTGTCTACCCAGGTTGTCCCAAAATGGTTAGGATTACCCTAATTGTGGTTTTCCTGACCATTCTTTTTTTTTCCCGTGCGGACCGGATCGGTGCGACTGTACGATGCAGAGTTCCCTACCGAGTTACTTATAATTTCTCGAAGGTAATGAAATTCTGAAATGATTATTTACAGGTTTAAAGGTAATATCATCGGGATTTCGGGTAGATACGCGTGCACGTACCGGTCGGACGATCACGAGTGTTCGTGTTAGACCTCAGTCGAGTTTTATCAGTATTAGATATTAAATTAAATTATTTTAACAGCGCTGAGCACTGTACCCTTTAAGTTCACGTCCGCTCCAGGACCGAGGTGGAGGGTTTGTCACTGGGGAAAAATCTACATACCGGTAACCGTGGTACTTTTTGTTAACAGGAAATTTTCCTCCCAGCTTTTCTATTTGCAGATTCCTCGGCGCATTCTTTGGCAACTCCCCTGCCAGCCACCGGAACTCTGATTATTTTTATCGATCCGTTTCCTTTTCGGTTACGTCGGGTCTTAATTAAAGGGCCGCTGAATCCTCGACATTTTCACCGTTAAAAATTTCTCTCCGGTCTTTTTCCTCTCCTTTTTTTTCAAGGAATTCAGCGTTGTGGGAGAGGACTCCAAGTAGAGTCATCCGCGTTATGTATTCGTTACCACGAGGCAATTTCCCAACTGGAGACGACACTGGTCCAACATACAAGCTGAACAAGCTAAATGCGTTAATTAGCGCTGAAAGCGCAGTTTGCAACTGCGCCGGTTTTGTTATCATTATCACCTCGTAACAAGCGGACACGACCCTGCATATGGTTATCCAGAATTTTCTGCAGTGACAGATATCCTCTCAGGCGATTTGCCGAGTGCGTTATTTGCATCCTCCCTCTAGAAATCCGTAAAATACTTAAGACGATACGAGAGGGTCATCCCATACACATGGAGACGTGAAAATATTTATAAAAAATTTTTCTCCAAATTGAGTGCGCCGAATCAGTTGAAACTTCAGCACGTGATTATGGAGGCCCTAAGGAAGAACGCGATGCTCGTTAAATTTCATTGCACCCAGTTAGGAGAAAAGTTGTAAATATTTTCACGGTTTGATACATTTGGGATGACCCTTTCATATCACCTTAAACTACTCGAAAAGAAGCGCATCGAGAGGGTGATCCCGATGCACCTTCCCGGCTTTATAAATGCCCTGCGCCTAACGAAGACGATACGAAATCCACAGATATTTGCGATTACCGAAAATCACGACATCGGGTGAGATCGAATCGCGGATATCTGTCGATCTCCCGGAAGCATCCGTTTCGCGGATACGCCACCCGTGTAAAGAATTGACACCAAAAAGGTCGAGCACTAATTTCCAGACTGAAAGATGCGGCGAAGATCTCCGTTTATTTTCTGCTGCACCGCCGGAAATATTCGCTTAGCCCGACCCGAGGGGCGAGGTGTTAAATTTAAATGCGATGTACATACATAAGGCACTCGAGGACAAAGGGAGCGCGTTCGCATGGACCAATCAGCATCCACCTTCGCTAAGACAGAAACTTTTGGTCTCGTTGTTTTGATATTCCACGTTCGCCGAGTGGTGCAACCCGATCGTCAGAACGTAGACCACCCGTACACGTAGTCCGAGATTAAAGATATCGCATAATAACTTGTCGGTGTATTATAAGTAAATCTGAATGTCTTAAAGCAGGATTATAATCCTAACCACGTGACGTCGTGTATACCTGGCACTCTTAGCTCATCCGGTAGATCCAAGCCGTGCGGCGTACGTATCGTAGTACGTACATACTTTGGGGGAAATAAGCATGCCTCATTTATTCGGTCGCGTCGTGCTCGCCAAAGGGCTCGTCCTCTCACTCCAAAGAGTAAAAATCGAGAGAGAGAGGCAATTCCAGATGAAAAGTGAAATGCCGCCCATTGTCGGTCCAGCACTCTCGACGTGTCCTCGCGTGGCCGAAAGTGCCCACTTTTTAACCGACTTGAAAAAAGAGGGAGGTTCTCTCAATTCAGCCGTAGATATATTTTTTATGCCCGTTCACGCATAGCTTTTCTTAGAGAGGGTCAACGTGACAAAAATCTGGATGAATCATTTTGTTGGCCCATTTTCAAGGGTTCGTTGCGACGCGTAAAATGTCTCGTCACGACCGTGAAATTCTTTTCCTGCGTGTGCGGAATTAATCGAGCTCCGAAATGACGAGCCTCCGGGTTGGCCAAGAGCGCGAATAGACGAACTTCAACATTCGCTCGAGTAAGCTCACGAAGCTCCGGCTGAACTCTCTTTCGAGCGGGACTGGAGAGGTGACACGAGGCATTAATCGTTCCAAAGCCGCACGTAGGTAAAGTTTCTCGACACTTTGGTGTTTACTTGGAGTCGTCGCCGAGTTGTTCGCAGCGCTCGCAACAACGGCTACGATTTTCGCCTGACGCGAGATCGTCGTTCGGTCGGACTCGCTCGGAAAGTTTCCACAAAGTTGCTCGCATAGAAATCCTCCTCCTGTCCCAAAGTCACGTAGATCGTGCCGGGTGCAACATTAGAGCGTGAATAATTTCAATATATAGTTTCTCCCTCGATATTTAAGCGTAGACGTTTCATCGAGTGCCGACAAACGCCGAGAATTGGCCATTTAATTTCTCCTTCGGCGTCTGAGCGTTGAAATTTCATCGAGTCCCGACGGACGCCGAAAATCGGCGTTTCGATCGGTAGGAAGTTCTTTTTCCGAGACGCCTAATAGCACCTTTCGATCTAAATGTCGTGTAACCATCCGCGGTAACGTAATCGCCTTCGAGAGGTACGCTCGTTGTCCCGATGACGAATATTTTGGATACACTTGGAAAGCCCGTCGTCGAATCGAGCGCCGTGACAGCAATTCTATTATTTCGAGCCCGTAAATTGACACGTTCGCTGTCATTTAATATGTTTTATTTGCACCCTCGAAAAGAGTAGCTGTACAAAAACCCGCGACAGCGAATGCGTCGGGAGCTGTGTAATTTAATGGCCTGAAAAATGTCACCGAATATGTTCCCAGTGAATATACGAGGAGAGGAAATAAAGACATATCTTGGAGTCGAAATCGTTATTGAACGCGTTTGCTTTGCCACTGACATTCATGTATGTTAATTACGATACGTACACAGAAGGGATTAAATCTAATCAGGCATGTAAGAGATCTCCCCGGTCGACGGTTACCCCGCTAGATCGTTTGATAAGATCGTTAGATCATAGCACCGATTTATTTGGTAAGTCTGCATGATAACCGTAGTACTTGCCCCACTAGTCGTGAAATCGTTGAAACCTTGTCGGTTAGTAAAAGAAAGGAAAGGCCAAAAAAAGTACTCTTTTCGCTCCACACCTCCCGAGATACGGATAACGCGTGGCATAAAGTGAACAGATTTATATCGTTTGTTAAGAAGTTTTTAGATCTGCATATTCTATAGAATAGTACTAACTAATTGTTAAATGTATTTCACGAGATTATATTACATACTAACACGTTATCAATGCAAATCATGAAAATATCGGTGCACCGAGGCCCTTCCTCCTGGTTTAAGGTGAAGTGAAACCCGTCGTGAAATTTGATCGACGTCGGTAAAAAAGACTCTTCTAAATACCTGCAATACCGAAGTTGGTACTTATATCGACATCAGTGTCTAATCGTACACTGTACCAAATGGCATACTCCATATGTCGTTTTCGTACAACAATTATACAGAAATCGAAGTAAAACTACTCTTTTTATAAAAGAAACTTTCCGACAGATCGGTCCGATACCCCCTTAAAAAGTGTCTTACTCATTTAAGGAGGGCTTCACTTCACCTTAAACCACTATGGATAGGCCGATTAAGAGTTGCGCCGACCACCGAGGAATTGCTCGAATTAATTGCCGAGTGATTAATCATTACGCATGTACCGTAATAGTTCGAAAGAAGGGTGTGGTATATTTTTCGCGAAGTCTTTCTCCGATTCCTCGAAGGTTACAAGGAGGTATCGAAAGTCTCAATCCCCCGGAATATGTGGAGCACTCGTAAATATCGAACGACCGTTCGCGGGTGTGCTCGAAACGAATCTCGGCCTCGGAAAATTCTTCGATGTTAATTAAGGTGTACTCACAATGTTACTAGCGCGCTCCGCTCCAGGCGACCGTGGACACATGTTAAGAGTGCGATGTCGGTGTCTTTAACAGTAGGCTTGCTTGCACACGAAACTCGATATTGTAAGGAGAAACTCACAGCAAATGTCACGAGATCAATTTCACCTAATATGCCGAGTTAAAGAGAACTATAATAAATGTAATCCGACGAGAATATCATTCGTGTAAGGCTACTTAAAATATACGTTACAAAGGTGTCCTCTTATGGCTTGCATCCTCTCCCACGACAGTACTCTGGCAATCGATCTTCTAATAAATTAATCAGCCCATTAAGGCGATACGAAAGGGTCATTCTATATATATATATATAAAACGTGAAAATATTTATAAAACTTTTCTCCAAACCAACCGGAATTGTATAAATCTTTTGACGCTTTATGTATATAGAATGCCCTTTCATATCACCTTAATCAGCCCATTAACCTCCCCGCTTTGCGTATGCTATCGATTCCGTTCATTATTCTTTCCGCGAAGGGTTTAATTGGCCCCCTCTGTCCGCAAAACAGTATCAGCGGATCCCCATTATCAGAGGAAAGAGTTAACAATGAGCAGACCCTCAGGAACGGAGGAATATGTGAGAACAATGGAGACATCCCTGTAGACGGTAAGGTAAGGGTCCCGAGAAATTGTCTACGTATTCCTGGGAATTCTCCACACCCCCCGGGAGATCCTTGACAATTAATGACATTTTACTGCCATCTGTATTGTGCCGTGGACCCTCGTTTGGATGCCTCTGGTGCATATTACCGGACCCCGAGCATACCGGAGCTTCATTATTTGCATACCTCAACGCGACAATCAACGTTTCCATCTTCCTTTCCATGATCCATGCATGTATGTATATACATACACTGGCGGTCATGAATGGTTTCCTCGTGTATATGGCGCCTCCAGGTGGTGGGGTCGGTCATTACACCCGCTCGTACCCGGTATGTGAAAACGTGAAGTGATGAAAGTATGAAAATGTAAAAACGTGAAAATATGAAAGTGCAAATATGTATTTTACTCGCTACTTCTAAAGTGAAAATTAAATCTCTGCCAATTAGAATTTTGGCACACCAATATGGCTACTATCTTATTGTTCCTATGTGTCTCCCTTGAGCATTCCCAATCTGGCTTGCATGTACTCCATCCGCATATTCTTACGTCCATGGTTTAAGTCAGGTTAAACGGTTTAAATCTTAGGGTGGTCGAGCGTTTATTTATGTTTCAACGGTGAGTTGCGCTTTAAGTCAATTTATAAAATTGAAAATAGTCTGTATGTAGTTCAAATTGATCATTATCGAACGTTGTAAGTTAAACTGAATTCGGTCACAGCGGTTATAACTCGAATGTTTTATCTTTTGATTCCCGCAACCGTTACTCCGTGTCAAAAATTGTTGCATGCTTTCAAAAAAATCCGTTAGCCGCACTTAATTTAATTGAAGATTAATATTGCTTAAATTTTCCGCAGATAAAAATATGGGGAATTATACGAGCAAACTATTGTCTCAGTACGAGGAGCAGGAAGGTAAACAAAAAATGCAGCAGCGGGTAGAACCACCTAATGAGAATACTTTGAGTACTCCTACATTTATCAAGAAAATAATTCCACTCGATCCTAGATCAGTAACCATTGGGATAACACGAACTCCCATTGAGGTAATCGATACTTGAGTACTCTGTTTTAATGGGTAAAATATGAATATTAATAATTGACAGCTGTCCTTCACCATGTATAAATGAGAATAATTTTCACAGGTAAATTGTACTCCTCCACAATTAACGCGTAAAGTGGTCAGTGCACTACCAAAGTATTTGCAAGCAAAAAAATTGTTGGAAACAGATATTGACAATGTGATTCTGCCATTGACACCAAAAAAATGCTTAGATCCACGTTCACCTGCTACTTCTTACCCTCGAACCCCAATTTTGGTAAGACAAAATAATAGGAATCCTTTTAAGTCAGCTGCCTCAATATTGTTATAACTAAATTCTTTCATATTATAGGTTGATCCGATATTAGACAGCCCAATATCTACAAGCACTGAAAAGCAAGAATCCTTGAATGGGACACCTATTACAGATTTGCGATACAAAATCCTAGGACTTGATCCAAGGTCCCCAGCTGCAGACTTTGACAGAACGCCGATTTTAATGCCTAAATCTTGTGAACTTTTAAGGGCACGTTCACATGAACACTTGAGACGTCAAGGCAGCTACGACACCGATGTATTTCAGTCTAGACTTTCTTATTGTGAAACTACCACTTCGGACAGTATTCCAGAAATACAAGCTCTACCTGACATTGCAACAAATTTACAGACAACTTTTGATTTGAATGTACATGACACGAGTAAGCTTAATGAGTTGAATCTATCTACTTCTAGTCATAATTCCAGCATAGAAACAATTTCTGAAAGTGGAGATGAAGTTACTGTCATACGCAGATCAAGTTCTATGAGTACTTTAATTAGTCAAAAAGTACCAGAAACAGTGACTCATGATCGGATGTTACCTGATGGAAAATCTATAAAAACAACCCACGATAATGTCAGTAATGTCTTGGCCATTGCTATAAAAAGCACGGACCGACTAAAATGTGTTGACAGTGAGGATAAATTCAAAGTTTGGAGAGATTCTACATCTCCAGATATTCCGTTGGAATTAAATGATAATGCCGATCATGTATCTATAGCACCAGACATTGCAGAGTTACAGGAGGAAATTATGATTGAATTTGATGATAATGTAATTTTACGAAATTCCAAAGAGGTACGTGTAAGAAAGTCGGATAAATCAGAAGATACTAAGTCAAAAGCGCAGGACTCAACAGGAAAAAAGAAGAAAGGGTTAAAATCAGAAAAGAATATTAAGGACGAGAAAAAAGTATTCACTCCAGAGGGGAAAAACACCACCGAAACAAAAGTAAAATATTTATTTTTCATTTTAGCATCTAATTTTACCTTGACTGTCAGTATCAACAATTTTTTTTTTTTTTTGTAGAATCGCACACCCCTTGGAAATCGCTCAAATAAAAACAGCCAAATTCAAGGGATTATAAGTAAATCACCACAGCAAACATTGCGAAGTAAGACTCTACCGAAGAAACTGCTTCAGGAAAATACACCACCCCATAAGACTTGCCTTACAAAAAATAAATTAAGTGGCATTCAGTGGGACCCAGACTCTACGGTAATTATATAAATAAAAAGTTCACACCACTGATTTTGTTACAATTATCATTATTATTAAACTTATTTATCTAAACACATGTAACCACTTTTATTAACTCAGGTTGTACATTTTAGATTAGAAAAAATAGACTTAATAATGGAATTTTTAAACCTATAATGTATTTTCATCTATAGCTTATCTGTTTCTTAATCATGGACAATAAATAACATTATATACTTGTTATACACAATTCAATATAAAAAAGTCTGAAATAAATATTATGTATTTTTCATCATCAAGCTTCTTATTTGTGACTTTGCAGATTCAATAGAATTTTTCAGATCGTTACTTGATTGAACCAATTGGGTTGTGCTACAAAGAGAAGACTGATTAATTAAAGAAAATCTATATTAACAATATGCTGATTAAAGTCTGAAGTTTACCTTGAGTCTTTGATGACGATCCGTTTTTTCTCATCTCCTTCCTTAGGTAATAATTTAATGATAATCCCACTATCTACCTGTTTGACATTAGTGAATACAGTTTTATCAGACTTGTCTTTTTTTGCAATATTCCTTGTGTCTATTATTTGCGGTCGAACAATTCTGACTTTAGTTGTTTTATTGGCAGACTGTCCCTTATAATTTTTCCTTTTGTTAAAAGGTGATTCTTTTGAAATGATTTTTGACTCTCTCACACCTGCAGATCTGAATAGAACATCATTTGACAGATAAGGTCCTCTCAAAAGTTCTTGTGCAGGGTTTGGTTGTATTTCCGTCACATGACAAGTGGACTCTGGTAAACTAGGTTCAGATACTGGTCGTGGATCAATATTTTGAGGAATTCCATTATATATGGTGGTCAGTGTTTCACCTGGGTAATTTTTAGCAAGTCTTTCTTCGGTTAGAGGTAACGCTGGAGTTTTCTTTTTACGCTGATATTGTTCTCTGTAAAAGCATGTTTAATTTGTCATTGTATCAAACTTATCATATATACATCTTATCATATAACAGTGACTTACTTCGGAACGAAGGGGTCCACTTCTGGATTTGTTGGATCTTCTTTATGAGATTTAATTCTAAATGTAACATCTTTGCGGCGTTGAATTAATTTATTTCTTGTTTCCGAAACCGATTCTAGCTCAGGTGCATAAAATGCATGTAAAAGGCCACCAAAGAAGTTCTTACCATCGATAAATCGCTTTGCAATTCTATTTGATCGAATAAGTCATATGATTTAATGTTGCATACATCGATACATTCAACTAATAGGAAAAATGTAATACAAATCATTGAAAATTCTTTACCATCCAATAATACATACCTCGCACTCTGTATTCGTGCAAAATGTACATGAAATACATCTGTAAATTCTTCCGTAGGATAGTCGGACACGATTTTAATTTTTTTTACATCTCCGTAAGGAAACACAAGTTTCTTTACTTCTTCCGTTAACTGTAACTTTGGCACTCCACATATTAACAAATGCTGTGACTCGTTATTGATAGTATAAACCTGTTACACAGAGCTAGCATGTCAAGGAAATTTTCACACAGTTTCGAAACGAGTTAAATCTCATTAAAAGTTTTCACCCCAAACTGCGATATAAGAGATTGATCAAAATTAAATGAATAACTCATCGGAAGATCATGCCGAGGATATACATTCAATTTTATTCGTTCTCGTAAGGAGAAACATATTAGATCCTGTTAAAAAATATTGATAAATTCATAGTGTAGGATACGAGTCTTGATGCTAACCTTTACAGCTGTCAACTTTTTTCCCTGTCTGTAAGCAGGTCGTGTTCGACATACGTCTTGTTGCTCGTGATGAGCAAGTTTCACGATCCCTCGTTTTTCCGTCATTCTTAGTTATAACAAATTACAACCCGAAGGCGTAAAACTAGTCAACAACATGGACGTAATGGCCGCGACCGCTGGCCGGACCCGGCTCCCGGATTGGGTCCGGCCTCGCCCAATCGCTGAATCGCAAATCGTGAGAAGTGAACACTCTCACCAAAGATACACAATCATCCCCTTGCTGCCATTTTGATGATTTATATCAGTGTTCCAACCTTCTTATCTTATGTCATGGTTAATTTCCAGTGGCTTGGCGGTTAGCGGCCGGTCAAGAATATCTCAAAGTTTTGCATCGAGTTAGAGTTTTAAAAGAAAACGATGGGTCAGCACGTCTCTCGAACGGATTTCGAGTGGGTTTACACGGAAGAACCTCACGCCAGTCGCCGAAAGATTATTCTAGGTACTTTAGCGGAAATTTATACTTATCTGTCACGTGTCAATGACATTGAACTCAATTGTACAGCTAGATGTGTCATTTATGGTCATGTCCTTTATCGCTCCAAATTGAATCTCTGGAGTAATTTTTAAAATGTATTTAAATTAAAAGCATAACGACGAATTGAACATTATTTAGCTTTAGGTGTCGAGACTTGCAAAATTGAGGTAAATAAGAAATGCGTATGCAAGAATATTGTACAAGCATTTCTTTTAATTGCAGAAAAGTATCCACAGATCAAAAAACTATTTGGATATGATCCCAATTTCAAATGGGTTGTGACAGCGATGGTACTAGTTCAATTTGCATCAATGTTTGTGGTGAAAGACCTAAGTTATCCGGTATTATTTTTGATGGCTTACTGTTTCGGGGGAGTAATTAATCATTCTTTGATGTTGGGTAAGAAAATTATTTTCATATAAATGGCAGTTTAATGCTGGGCGCAAACCTGTATTTCTGTCTTAATGTTAATTGCAGCTATACATGAAATAGCCCATAATCTCGCGTTTGGTCATGGAAGACCAATGGCTAACAGATTATTCGGCTTCTTTGCAAATTTGCCGATTGTTATACCTATATCTGTTAGTTTTAAAAAATATCATCTTGAACATCATCGGGTAAGTGCATAGGAAATTGAGTTAGGCAATAATATTTTACGATTATATAGTTTTCACCCGGATAATTAAATATTATTAATTTTCATAGTACCAAGGTGATGAAAAGTTGGATACCGACTTGCCAACATTATTAGAAGCAAAATTATTTTGCACAACGTTTGGAAAGTTTTGTTGGGTCTGTCTTCAACCATTCTTTTATTCTTTTCGACCCTTGGTTACTTATCCGAAACCACCATCGACTCTAGAATATGTAAATTTGGCCATTCAATTGACTTTTGATGTAATTGTATGGTACTTCTTTGGTAAGTAGTTTTTTTCGAGAGATGTCAAAGTAAATTTGGAGTTTATTCTATAGAAATACTCTTGAATTTTTGTACAGGTCCTAAAGTATTAATATATTTACTCTGCGGTGGTTTAATGGCGATGGGATTACATCCTGTAGCTGGTCACTTTATATCTGAACATTACATGTATAAAAAGGGTTTTGAAACCTACAGTTATTATGGCCCGTTAAACTTTATCACATTTAATGTTGGATACCATAATGAACATCATGATTTTCCTGCAGTTCCCGGTTCTCGACTACCAGAAGTATGTTTCACCACATCATTTACGGACTTATATATTTGTTTTACTAAATATGACATCGATTGTATTTCATATTGGATTTTCAGGTAAGAAAAATAGCCTCTGAATTCTATGAGGATCTACCTCAGCACAATTCGTGGACAGCAGTTCTATACGACTTTGTAATGGATCCTGACATTGGGCCATACGCCCGTATCAAACGTAAGCACAGAGGCCTAGCCTCGTAAGAAAAGATTAAGTATTGAAATTGTACAGGTACTCCTATCGAGTGTAAAGTCAGTGATAACGGGAGTGTTCACTATTCTTATCTGAATAGGTGAAAATACCAGTTTAGTATATTTTATACTATATATGCCAGCAAAGCTTGATCTTTAGCAAGAGTCTGATATGGTAAAGACTGACCATATCTGTGTACATCGTTTCAAGCCTTACTGACTGCGGGATATTTAGTTTCCTGTCATAATAAGGGGAACAATTGTAACATAAATTACGCATACTTTTTATTGCAATACCAATTTTATGCTTGAGAATTTCCCTAAGTGGAATTGCTTTGAAGTTTTGAGATCACTTTGCGTCAAATGCACAAAAACTTAAAACTGTGAATGATACTGAGCACCGAACATTTCCTAAACGCTACTCTAAGATCTAGTCATTCCCTCGACTTCTGTACACAGATGTAATTATTTTTCAGTTACGAAGGTACTGTTATTTGTTGCTTAACATCGTTTGCTATAGTTTACGTACAACAAACGTTTTGCCTGTATAGTTACGCTTTCAGTATTTTTGATCTTTACAGCCATTGATGTCACATTTTATGTCACAATCATGATTAGCAGTAATTTCTTGTGTACCAAAAAACTGGTTTTCACAAAAGACACTATATTTTTCTATACGCTTAAGGCTACTTTTTCTGCCATAAGAATCTGCGTGTACCAAATGACGTATAGATATTACAGTAAACTGTATAATTAAATCTAATAAATATTTGTGTATTGCAGCATATGATAAAAGTAATTAAATCCTAATGTTAACGAATTATGTGGAGCTTCCTGATTTTTCGAATGATTCATTATTTGTCTACGGAATTTATGGATCGTCTGGTCGTGCCGTCATTTCTACCAATAAAGTGAGCAATGATGCTGGTTCCCAAAGCATCGGCAATGATATTTATTGTTGTCCTGAAACGGTCACTGAAATGAAACGCATATTAAATATCACCCATTCAAAAATACGTAAGAAATTATAAATTTATACTGTTTATACAAATCATACACTATGCCATCAATGGCAATAATTAGCATGACATCCTGAGCGGGGATTCCCATTGAGCTTAGCACAGTAACGAGCATCATGTAGCCACCACTAGGCAAACCAGCTGCCCCGATACATGACAAAGTACATGTTATGCTGAAAAAGAGTATTCCAGAAAAATTCCACAATCTTTAACAATCCGAGCGAAATGGACCAACCTAATGCTGATGATCTTCATTAATGAAAAATCTAGACCCCTCAGTTGGATTACGAAAATTGCGCCGATACTCTCGTAAAGCGCTATTCCATCCATGTTTATTGTTGCGCCAATTGGAGCAACAAATCTGGAAATCGTCGGGTCCACTCCGATTTTATCAAGACATCGAATGGTCATTGGTACGGTGGCGGTACTGAAAGTGCATATTAATTTTTATATTCTCCAGGAGGGAGGATTTTTAAGGTAGTTTAAATAAATAAAGCACCTTGACGACGTTCCGAAAGCCGTTGCAAGGGCCGGGCCGAGTTTTGCAATAATTTTATACGGTGATCGCCGTGTGCAAATTAAATGCAGCAGAGGTAAGGTGAACAATCCGTGAATGAATAGCCCAGCGAATACCGTACATACATAAGCACCTAAACGTGCCATCATTACGCTGAAATCCTCTATTTCTAATACTCTGCCTACTGTAAGGAAGAGCACACCGACCGGAGCTATTCTGCAATTTTTTTTTTAGTCTCAATTTATCGGTAACGCTAATTTCCATCGTATAGTGTTTAGGTATTACATGATCACTTTGTTCATAAGAACTGCCGTCGTCTCGAAAATGGCATGAAAGAAGTTTACTAAGGGCTTCCTGTCTTCCTTCATTTTTCCTATTGCCAAACCTAACAGGATACTGAAAAACACCAAACCCAATATGTTGGTTCCTTCCGTGTATTCGTAGGACGTCGGCCACTCGTAGATCGGCACTATTAAATATAATATATTTTACTGATTTTTTTCATTCATGAAAATAAATTCGTAACTATTAAAACGAATGCGTATATTCACCTTCACTCGTGTTCTTTGGTTTCTTCAGTACCGTATGATACTGCAAAAGAAGAGTGATTTAATTTCGTCGCGATATTAATTATTGATAGTGTATTATTGATTGTATATTATTATATCTTTAACTGGTTACTCACTTGCATCATACAGGCATTCACTAAATTATCCGGAACCACGTTACTATGAAAAAAATAATGCATAATTAAAGCGCGGAATTGAAGTGTTATAAAATTAAGGCTTAAACCTTTTTAATTACCGTAACAGATCTAGGAAAATATCGACGGTCACAAAGTGCTTTTCCAGTTTTATCATTTTATCAGCTTCGTGTGTTTTTCTGTTAACTTCTCCCGGTTTCACGGTTTGAGCCAAAATGACACTGGTTATTATTCCCAGAGCCGTTGTCGTCGAGTAATAATAAAGCGCAGTGAGACCGATTGTACCTGTAATTTAATAATTAATTATTTTTAGGACGAAAATTTATATATTTTTTTTTTCGAAATTTACCTGATGAACTTAGGGTACAAGTGGCTGATACGATGCTCGACACGACGAGTGGTACTATCAGACAGTTGATAATTCTTAGAAACAATTCTCCAGGAAATTGAAAATACATGATTTCCCTTTCGGACCAGGGCTCGGTTGCATAATTTTTTAATACGCCCCCAATGCCAATACCAATAATTATTCCAGAGAGCGTCATTACCGTTACATGGTGTTTCATCACACAAGGTCTCATTGTGTCCATTGTTTTCCAATATTTAAAATTATACTGCTTTTATACCTATTTCTCTGTACACTTGCACCTTAAGACATATAATTTACAGAGGCGAGTTATTTCACGAACTTAACACTAGGAGCGCAAAAAGCATTCTGTCGTCAATCGGCTACATTACACAATTCCTATGTGTACACTGCGATAAGTATGATGGTTCATTGTTCGTAATACCTTTTCATTAAAGTGCAAATACACGACGGCTTTTCTCACAATCCTCCGATTTCAAGGAGCTACTGGCAAAACTAACAGGAAGAACTTTTTGATCACGTATTTCAACGTTTCACTTACCTTTCGAGAACAGCGTTTTATTTGTTATCATAATTGCATAGGAAAATGAATTTTCAGAAGTGAAATATTTCTTTGCATTAAGGTCAAGTTTTATTTTCATTCATTTCTTGCGCTACTACAGTATAATAATAAATACGATTGATGTCGTGCACGATACATAAATGGTGTATATTTACAGGGGCTTTGCATTTTTCAGGCCATAAATTTACGTATCTGAAGCATAATATGCAACATCGGTCTACTGTCACATTAGTGTTCCTCGATCCTCGTCAATATCTTACATATCTTTACAGTTTTTCGTTTAAAACCACTTTTAACGTATCCGTCGAAACATCACATATGCACTAATCTTGCATCCAGTCTTCCGGTTAAAATCTCAATACATAATCTCTCATTACATTTATCACTTCTTAAGAATTCAATAATTCTGTTAATAATGCCTGTAGTATTAGTGAGATCAGTAAAGAATTCTTTTTTTTTTAATTTTATTAGAGTTACATTTATACAAAGTTGCGTCGGTAGTATTACATCTCTAAGTAGCTACGTACATTCCTATGCTGTTTAATATTTGGTATTACGTGTATTCCTGTGTTTAAATCTCTTCGCTCGTATATCCGGAGGGAACCGTAGGTTCCTCTCTAGGTTTCCTTTCATCGCTTCTTCATTTGAGGTAATTTGATTTTGCTCAAATAAAAGGAGAAAAATTTGTTTATTGACTTTCGCTTCTTGTTAATGAATACACGCCAGTCGCAGTTGCGATTCGCGCGGTGCATCGCGATCGTGGCGAATTGGACAACCTGGAAATTTTGGCAAAGGTGTCAAATAAGTCTCGGCTCCAACAATCGGGGATCCTTATCACCGTTGAATAAGCGGTACCCAGTTATCACATTACCTGATCCTACAAAGGCGTTTCTTTCCTCGCCTCGGCCTTCCACTGAAACCCATTGACTCGCGTCGTGATAGGCTTATTTCTGTTGGTTGCGTTTTCAATTCCATTTCTAACACCAGCCACCAACCTCATAGCTGGATTCGAAACCAAGCCGTTGCGCTTTGGTTTCGAGTTGCCACTGTTGAAAGAATAATACCGATTATTCCTCCTTTCCTTCTACTCCAGGGATTGGATATCGTATTTTTAATTATCTCGATTATATTCATCGTCAAGGGTAATTCAAAAAAAAATATATAAAACAGAAGGGAAGAGACGTGAATCGTTCACCTGCTCGATATATGCTCGGGCGTGTGCTTGACGTTTCGGCCAACACCAGCCCCGCTGTTCCCTAAAATGATTCTCATGTGGGTGTCTCGAGTGAAGTGTGTGTCGGCCGAGTTCCTTTTGTCATTGTGCCCGTTTCTCTTTTCCTTACCGGCGCCCAAGCCGAGCATTTCGTTGGTCAGCTCGAATGGCTTCGCTATCTCGGTTTTCTCGATCATCTCCGTCTTAATGTTTATAGGCTCGTAAATGCCGGCCGGGCCGTTGAATCCGCCGGTCAGCGGCTTGTACTGTACGCTCTGATTTCCCGACAGCAGGGACACCCCCAGCTGACTCTGAATCGCGCTGGCTGCAGTTTGGGCACTTGGTGGACTAGTATTCGTCGGCGAGTACGGTATTAGGCTGTCGCTCAGCGGGGAATGAGGTGGCGACGCGTATATCGGACTCTGGGGTTCACTTTTTAGCGGAGACAGCAGCTTGCTCAGTGGCCGACTCTTAGCCCCACGGGAGCATTGTTGGAGCTGTTGCGTAAACGACAACGGCGCCTGGAATTTAATACGATCAAGTGACCCGCCGGTCGTTTCCACGTAGAATTATGACAACGGTATATTAATCTCCGTGGCATACGGGAACTACTACACGACGGGAAGACCAGGCCTCGGTGAGAGAAAAAAATTCAGCCCTCGGAGGTAGAACCCCCTTGGAAGATTTCCTGTCTCTAAGCCGGAGGGCCTGGTGCTTCGCGCCACCTTTGACATCGCGTTGGGCTAAATTATCACGTGAATTGGCTACCTACTTTAATTACCTGGTTGACCATCGAACTCTGATTGAACTTCCCCTGGTCGCTCTTCGTACTGCCGGTCAGGTTGCTGCTGGACTTGCTGTTGCTGGAATTGTTGCCCAGGGAGACGCAGCTTCTTCTCTTCGTCGAGTCCGGAGACTCGGCGGGGCTGCATTGCGTCGAGAGTGGGTTTAACGTTACCGAAGAGGGTTTCGTCTCTCCGGTGGAGTTAGACGTCACGGAAGTCGCGCCACTGCTACCACCTACCGCAGAAAAATAGATTCTCTGGTACCTTGCCGATAAGGGATCGAGGCCTGAAGATTAAGCATAGCCAGGGTTTCCTCTAATTACCTCCATTGACAACAGGCCGTAAACTTCGTTGATTAGCGGAGTGCTCCTCGAGCAATCTAACAACCGTATCGTGTCCACTCTTGGCGGCAACTTTGATCGCGTTCCTACCGCAATGATCGGAATGGTTCGGATCAGCCCCGTGGTTCAGAAGAGCTCTGACGCAGTGCTCGTGCCCTTCTTGCGCCGCTATACCTGAAACGTTTCATGAAAGTGACGCTACATTCTTCCGCTTGTATTTACATTCCATGTGAGGGTATGTAATTCGTCGCAAAAAAAATCATAGGCGTACCTAACGCGGTTGCACCTTGATTGCACGTGTGATCTGGCGTTGCCCCGTGTTCGAGAAGCAGTCTAACGATAGCAGCGTGTCCTTGCCATGCGGCCGAATGAAGCGGTGTTCTGTTCTCATTATCGCATGCGTTTACACTGGCACCACCTTCTGTCAATAGAAGAGCCACCATCTCGACATGCCCTTGCCAAGCACTCACGTGAAGTGGAGTTCTTCCCTACGGTCAATTTCACGTTCCAATTTCAGTAACGATTCCACGTATATCGATAGAAACAATATTCCACATCGAGGTTAAAGTGTTATAAAAGTGTCGCGTGAACTAAAAAGTCAAGTTATTTATAACACTTTACTTCAAACAGGGCGCATCGAATAATTCGAAACCTTAACTCGTGATTATGGAGGTCCTATCCGGAAATTTAATTTTTCAAACAAAAATGTATTTACCCCTAAAGGAATTTTTTTTCGGAAAATTAAATTTTACTATGGGACCTCCATAATCACGTGTTAAGGTTTCAAATTATTCGGGGCACCCAGGTTGGGGGAAAGTTTTATAAATATTTGGACTTTTTGGTATATGTATATCGCACTTTCATAACACCTTATGACCGGTATATAACCGAATTGATAAAGATTACCTCGGAATCTCTGCTTTCCACGTCGGCATGGGCGTGTTCCAGGAGAAACCTCGCCATGGCCAGTCGATTTTCCAACGCGAGGATGTAGAGAGTGCTCCTTCCGTCCGCATCCTTTGCGTTGACGTCGGCGTTGTGCGACAAGAGCACTCTTACCGTATCGTAATGTCCTTCTAGAGCCGCCAACCTACCAAAGCGGAATACATATTTATATAAAATCCACTCGACTCCTTACCAATGCCCCAATTATATTCGGATCTTTTACCTCAAAGCTGTCTTCCCGTCGTGAGCATGTTGGTCGATGGGTGCTCCGTGTTGTTCCAAAAGTCTCTCCACCAAAGTAGTGTGTCCCTCTTGAGCAGCGAGCATGAGCGCTCCTTTTCCATCGTTGTCGGCTTCGTCGACTTTCGTCCCAGCCTCCAGCAACGCTTCGCAGACGTCTATGTGGCCTTCAAAAGCCGCATAATGTAGAGGCGTCCATCCCGAGTTGTCCCTGTGTTGCTCGTCGAGACCTATCAGTGCACATAAAAAATCCTTTCAACACTTACCCGGCACACTTCTCCTTTATTCACTCGCAAACATTCTCATATGTCCTCTGATACTTCCTTTAACAGGTGCCATAGGTTATTTTGTTGAAATTCAATACTGACTATGAATAAAAAAAAAAGGTTGAAGTGATTACAAATTCGGTATTTCCACAGGGATCTTCCGAAGCAACGCACCTCTGTCAAGGAGCTGCTTGACGACGTCGGTGCCTCCTTGCGCAGCGGCCACGCTGAGGACGGTCCTGCCTTCGTTGTCTATGCTGTCGACGTAGCATCCCCAGAACAGCAACAAGGCTACGACGGATCCATGGCCCATGCTCGCAGCCGCCCATAGAGGAGTTCTTCCGGTTGCATCGCAATGGTCCACATCTGCCTCGTACTCGAGCAGTAACTCGCACACATCTCGGTGTCCCTCAAAGGCGGCGACCAACAGCGGCGTCATACCGTCCTTGTCCTGGTGGTCCACGGCGGCTCCTCTTTCCAGCAATATCGTCACCACCTGAATGGTTAAGTCTCCCATTATTAATTGTACAAGACTACGCTATCGAGTGAAATCTTTCAATTAAGAGAAAAATGTCCACCTTCGCGTATCCCTGATTGGCAGGGACGCACAACGCGGCGACGCTCAAGGCCGTTCTGCCATCGCTGTCGGCGTGATCGATCTTGGCTCCGAAATCCAAAAGATGCTCGACGATCTCGCTGTGACCCATATAAGCAGCAGCTATGAGGGCCGTCCTGCCTTCGTCGTCGGTTCTGTTGACATCGGCACCGTGCTGCAACAATGCCTTCACTATGTCCTCATGGCCGCCCCAAGCGGCAGCTCTCAGAGCGGTGCGTTGATCCCAATCCGCACAATCTACCTTCGCACCGTGCTCCAAAAGTTGTTCGACGACCTGGAAATGACGTAGCATCAGGCAAGGAGAAAATGAAACCACGTATAACAATATTCCACAGGCGTTTACGGTACTAAATTAACGGCGTTAGTTGCAAAGCCTCGAACAAGTCTACCTCCATTTTGTCCTTCGAGCATGCAAAAAGGGAAACCAATGCCGTTTCCCGGCATTGTCTTGTCGTGCCTGAACTCGCTGTATCGAATTATTGCCCGGAGAATGGAGAGTTATTAAATAGTTAGTCGATATCGAGCAATTGCGGGTTGTCTATGATTCAATATGGCGGATCTGGTAACAGCGGTTCCGGGTTATGAACGCCTGGCATTAACGGAGGACAAATGGTCCATTCCCTTGAACTGCGCGAATCAAGCACTCCCATTTTCGGGAGATTCCGGAAGATACCGAATTAATCCTTGCAAGAGTAATTCGGATCGTAACAATGGGAGACCGAGTTCATGCACGGGGAAGCTTCCTAAAATTACGCGACACCGCACAAAGCGCGTCTTCCAATGCGAGCATTCCTCCGGGGTACAGAATTTAATTCCAACAATTGCGAGGCCATTTTCCCTGCGTACATCATGCATACATAAAATGCCGTCCAACGGACCGGCCGCCTCGTGCCCCGGATTTCCGAGCGTAAATATCTCCGGAATAAAAGTGGCGATTTTACGAAATTACATTTCGGAACGAAGAGCGTTCTTCGATAGTTCCTTCCTCCGATGCAAAATAAAAATTCTCGCCGAGAGGACATTCACTCGGGAATCAGTGAAAACTATTCTCTTTTTTCAGAACCGATTGCCTTTGATTTCCTATCCTAAACAATGCGACTCGGTAAGAAGTTACGGTCGGCCTTAAAATCGTCGCAATGTTTCGGTGATTTCTAACGATTTCGAGCATTGAAATCAATGATTCCCCGAGTGAATACCCCTCGATTCTCACTTGATCGGGCCAGGTCCATTGGATGCCGTAAGCGTCCCGTTTGGGTTAGGGTTCCACTTTACAAGGCTGGCGGCGATTATCGATTAGTCACTACGGGAGCAAACCAAGTAAAATAAATCAACACTAACTACATTCGGGACACGTTTAACAGTGTCGTCGAGTTTCGTAGAGAGGGTTGGCTGTGAATGTACCTGGGTGTGTCCTCCCCAGGCAGCGGCCCTGAGAGCGGTCCAGCCGTCACAGTCGGCGTGGTCCGCCTTGGCACCGGCAGCTAAGAGAACCCGGACGACGTCGGCGTACCCGTGCCTCGCAGCCAAGTTTAAAGGCGTTTGCCCGTGCCTATCGATGGCTTCGAGTTTCGCCTAGTGAGACACATCACCGATTAAGAGGGTTCCACGAAAATTCAAAGATTTAACCGCGTCTCAGAGGTACTCCCTCATCCTTCGGGTCATCGCGATGGCATTACAATTAATATCATTTAACCGTCTCCCTTGGATTTTGGATTCATATCCCAAGTGGGTCCATCTATCCGCTTTCTAGGAGGACGTAGAAAAATGACGCGGACAATGACACGAGTACTCGTAGGAGAGGCGAAGTGGGATGGGAGTTTTTCCCCGGATAATGGGGGACTTTCTCTCCTCGGTAGGTCCTTGGTGCGCGATGATTGACACGTACGGCGCGGATAGTTTCCCGCGGCAATTGCAGCCGACGCGCACCTGCGACCGGCAGAGGACCGGTAAATAGCGCAAATAGCGCAAATACAGGCGAATGACTCGAAAACTGCCCCGAGGTGTACGTCGTTGTCCCTCGGCTCTTTTCATGAAATCCTACTAGCGTAACGTTATAATTCGAGCCGACCGGTCTCGTTTGCGGAGGCAGGCGAGAACGGCCGCGGGGCCTCGGGAGAGGCCGTAAACCTTTAACGTAACCGGGGATCCGCGGGTTTTTGCCCTGAAAAATTATCCGCCGGGGGAAAAAACGAGGCAGGCCCTAAAGGCGTTAAGCCCGACGGATGCAAAACCTTCGGCCGGAAAGCCTCGCTTGACGCAACTGGCGTCACAACGAGTCTTACACCTTGATTAACTTCACGCCAAGATGCTGCATTTGCATGGAGATACTCGGAGCACCTTATTTACACCTGCAAAAAACGCTCCGTCGAGCGCTCGCGGAGCGAATCGTTTCGCCCGGCGAAATGCCTCGGTTCGAGGATTTCCACATAAACGCAGCGTCGGTTTTCTCGGTTCTTCTCTCCGCCTCGAGGAGATGAAAAACTGGAGACTTTCGGTGGATCGAGGAATCGGCTGTCGAGCAATTCGCGTTTCGGCTCCGGGTTGCGGGTAAGGTAACTTAGGGGAGTAAGGTTCATGGACGGTCTCGTGTAAGGAACATCTACGGGCAAAAGTTATCTATTTTTGTGTGTTCAAGGGTATGCGTGGAAATATATTTTTCAGATATACCGATTTTTTTGTAGGCGGCGGGTTTCCTGCCTCCGAGTCTTACCTGGGGACATGCGGTAAGGGCCAATTCCAGAAGGGAACTGTTCCCGTCGGCGGCGAGGGTGTGCAGGACGGTGCGGCCACTCGAGTCCGCCTGGTTGATGTCTCCGCTCTCGCCGAGCAGCTCCGTCAGCGGCTCGCCCAGGGACTCGTCCATGGGACTCACATCCTGTGAGACCTGTTGCATTCCCATCGCGAACGACCGTGAACAACCGTGAACGTCACTTTTTGCCGATACTTTTCTCCTGGGTGAACATTTATCTCCCCTCTCTCTCTGCTCCTCGCCGCTTCCGCGTTTTGTCTTTCTTCAACGACCGAGAGAGAAAAAAGGGCGGCCATTTTTTCGCCCCCTGCGGAAGCCACATCGGGCTCGCCTTTAATAAATAATCCCGAAACGTGGCGAGAGTAAATTTCACGCGAATGATTTAAAGAAATACGTTTAAAGGGGCGTGCGCGAACGGGCCCGAGGTTCCCTTAACCTGTTGCGCTCTCCCACGAAACGGTGGCCGCGGTATAACTTTTTCGGCATATTTTTCTAAGCCGTAAACATTTATTCCCAACGTCGGCCCGGCAAATACCGGCATCTCGAGTTTGCCTTTATTAAAAGGCTCGGCAGGGAGAGAGAGAGAGGGAATACTCCGCTAATTGCGAAAACAAACGCAAATCTCCGCCCAGGGGGAGACGACAAAGGTGCGCGCTGGTTAATGGGGAACGCAAACCGGGAAAAGGAGCGAGGAGACCGGGAAATGCTAGTTTCCCGGGTTAAGTGGATACGAAAGGCGCCGAGAAATTTCATCGACGTTGATGAAATAAAATTCACGTATAAATGAAAATTTCTTTGTAAGCCGTTACCCCCTGTATATAGGCCAACCCTTTCATATCATCTTAACTCGTCCATCGATCGCAAAAGGAACCGGGAGAATCACCTGACTAGAAGAAACGGCGTCTTTGACGGGCTCGTCCTCGACGACTTTCTCGGAGGGCTTGGCTCCGGAGTCCAGGAGCAGTCTTAGGAGTCTGGTGTCCTGTCTGGGCCAGAGGATGCAGTCGGTGCTATCCAGGTAGCACTCCTCGACGGGAACCCCGCTGCCTATCATCCAGAGCACCTGCAGAGCGTGCAGGTCCAGGCTGGACCCAACGGCAGCGACGCTGGTCATGGACCTTTGCAGATGCTGGCCCAGGACGCAGATCTCGTCGGAATTTAGACCGGGACCTCGCAGGGTATAGTACGCCGCCAACATAGCGTGTCCTTCGACGGCGGAGCAGAGGTACTTCTGGGTGCAGTGCTTGACGTCCAGGAGCCACTCGGCGAAGCTGTGATGGAAGAGCATCAAAGCACCGGCCCTGGACACGGAGATGACCCTGCGAAGCAGGTGCAACCTGCGATTGAAGTCCTCCTTGGTGATGGAGGTGAGCGCGGTGCGGACGCACTCGTAGAGGACCTCCTGGGTGATGGGGAGCTTGGCCGCCAGGATGACGTTCAGCAGGGGCAGGACCTTGGCGAACTGCTTCCTGCTGAAGAGTCGCTGACACAGCCAGAGATAGAGACCGTTCAGGGTGCCGGGGATCTCGCGGATCTCCCGCAGGACGATGAAGTTCTCGGCGACCCCGTCGAGGACCTTCTCCAGGTACAGGAAACACCCGTTGCTCTTGATGTGCAGCTGATTGAGCATCTCGGCGGTGTCCCTGGAGATGTGCTGCCGCAGGGCGTCCTCCTGGTCCAGCCTGGCCAGGATGTACTGCTGCACGTCCCGAACCACCTGGGACTTCCTCAGGTCGTCCAGAGAAATCTTGCGGAACCCGGTGAACATCCTGGAGATGGTCCTGCTCTGCCTCCTGGCGGTGCAGACCAAGAGCAGCCACTGGGGGAAGAGGTGGTGGTGGTTCGCCAGGAGCTCCGCGATGGTGCGGCTGACCATGTCGTTCTCCCTCCTGGAGTCCCTGGTCCCGGTGTAGGGAGGGTTCAGGAACTGGCCTTCGTCGATGGAGTCCACCAAGAGGAAGAGGCAGTTCTTCGGAGGCTCTACCTCCAGGAGGGGGAAGAGAAGCGCCTTTTTCAGGGCCTCGTCCGGGTCCCTGTCCAGGACGTCAGGCTGCAGGGCAGCCTGGATTTCCGGATCCGTCCGCAGCTTCTCGGCGTAGGCCTCGGCGACGGCCTCCTTGGAGGTGAGCGGGGCCGTCGCGGCGGTGGGCGTCGGCGAGGTCGGAGAGGACAGCCGAATTCCATCCGCGCCCGCCTGGAGACAAAGAGGGGCGTCCATGACCACCATGAGACGCGCAACCCCCGACCTAACCGGTCCATCCCGCCACCCGGACGTCCCGACCGAGGTCGAGTCCTACCTGCAGGAGCTGGGCCACCAGGGACCTGACGAACTGGGCCGGCGATAGAGAAGCGTCGCTCCTTGCCTGACAGAAGTGCCTGGCCAGCAGCCTCCGATTGAGGTATCTTTGGTGTCTGGCGTTGGCGCCGCTGGATGGCCAGGCCAGCTCGGCACAGAGGGCCGTCTTCCCGCTGCCGGGGCCGCCGATGATCAGGGCCCCGCAGGTACTCGCAGCCGGCCTCTGCTCCAGGCAGTGGGACAGCTTCATCAGCGCCCACTCCCTGCAGAAGAAGCGCTTCTTCTCTATCACCGGCGCCGCCATGGTGGTCCGTGACTTCGCCGTCTCCTTGGAGCCCGGTGGGGCCTCCTCCAGGTCCGCTGCTCGACGAACTCGACGGCGAACCTCCCGTCGATGAAAGTGGCGCCAGACTATGTGGCTGGGACACGCTCGTCACTGCAGCCAGGACGTCGCTCCTTCCACAAGCCGCTCCTGCTCCCGCCGAGGGGACGACGTCGGTCCTGTCCCGACGACTCTGTCCGCTGCACCCGGGTCCGCCATCTCGGCTCCCGGGAAGACGCCTCCTGGCACCTCGAACTTCCCCTCTCCGCTTCGAAGCCTTTCTTCCTCCTGCCTGGCCCTGGAAGAGTCGATCCACCGGGGGTCCTCGAAGCCGAGCGACGCCTACTCGTCCACCTGGGGGAGCTGCGCTAGCAGAAGTCGGTCGGAGCCCCAGGGGGCTCTGCGGCTTCCTCGGCCTCCATTCGGGACTCTCATCGCCTCGCTAAGGTCGACCTGGCCGATCCGCTTCCCTGCATCCCGCACCTGAAACCCAAGACCGAAGTGTACTACGGTACCGCTGGGAAGTGACCCACTTGTGTCCCAGGCCCCAGGAAACCGGAACACCGAATGGCTCATCCGGGACCGTAACTTCCCCGACGGTTCTTTACGGGACGTCCCGTCAAGAGATTACCCACCGGTCGCTCCCGGAGAGGAACCGATTTTCGCCCCTCTTCTTCTTTCGACCTCGTTAACCCGGATATTCTAGACCAGTCGATTAAGCACCCCGATGTGCAATTCGGGGATTTTCGAAATTTTTTCTCCACCCCGGAACCACTGTGGGAATGCCGATATCGGGGAAAGGAAGCGAGAACTGGCGAGATATGGGGTTTCGCGACCCTGGGGAGGCGCTTCGAAATCCGCTTAATGTGTCATGAAAGCGTCAAAAGGGGAAAGATGAAATTTCGCGAATATTAAGACCTCAGTTAAGACCTCCATAATCCCGTGTTAAAGTTTCATATTATTCGCTGCACTCAGTTTGGGGAAAAATTGTATACATATTTCGAGATTTCGATATATATGTGAAATGACCCTTTCGTATCACCTTAAGGATGGGACGGAATCGTTTGCGGTGAATCGAGAAGGCCAAGCCGGCGAGGCTTCGGCAAGTGCATTTGCGGACCGATTTGCCGTAATTAACGGCTGGTGCACCGAGAGCTACGTGGGTATGCAAATCGCGGAAGGGGAGTACCTCGCGCCGAGGTAACGAATCGCCGATAGCGATCGCAGGTGCGAGTCGTGTCCGAAACGGACACGCACCGTTGAGAGTCTCCTCTAAGTAATCTTCCGGGTATTTTTCTCGACGCGAGGTTATTACTTTATTCAGGATAATTAATCCGGGATGTTTTTCCAGATACTCGTCGGTGCTCTTTTGTCGGCGCCATTTTTTCGGCGCGTTCGTCATGGGCGGCCCTTTGGGTTGCTTAAACGAAGATGACTCGTGCCTTTTGCAACGATTTCCTTTCTCGAGGGAAGATAAGCTAAGGTTATGCGCTGATCGATGTCGACGTCGATGTCGACGATGTCGGCCGCGGACACGAGCAGATCGCACGTGCGATTATTCCCGGACGAGGACCTTCGTTATTTTTAAAGACGCCCCTTCGCAAAAACCTCTCGTCATCCAGATGCGCAGGACGTTTCCATCGCTAGTGCTACTTCTTCGGAAGAGCGATTCAACGAGTGACGGCACTTGGCAAAAATTGCAGCGATTCGATCATTCTTATCCCTTACTTTGTTTGAAGGTTAGGGGGCTAATGGGACTTCCGGTGAAATCCTGGAGTTCTATCCCTGGGACCCGATTCTCCAGTTCGCACGGATTTTTTCCACATAGGAATAAACTCCCATGAGCAATTTTCCATTGTTGGGAAGCAGCGCCATTGCTCAACATTTAAAAGTCGCGTGCGAAAGTCCATCGTACCCTGAGGGAAAAAATTCATTGAATCAAAGAAATATTTTGTTAATTCATAGAGTAATTATCTGACTCGAATAAACTCATTGTTATCATTCCGAGGGAACGTTGCATCCAGTTCATTCGAGTTTATTTGAGTCAAGTCATTAGTCTTTGGTTAAATGAATTTTTTTTTTGGGGGCGTAACTCGAGAATCGGAGCCCTGAAAATGGGGAGATCGGTGCGCCGATCGAGGAGACTTCAACGCCCGATCGAGGTCCTGACGGCGGCTTTTCAAAGGACTCTGTTCCCAGCGCAATCCCGGCAACGTCCTCGCAAATGCGACTAATAAAGCCCGGCAATTCGTAACGCTCCGGCAGGAATCCGAACGAAACAGGAGTTCCCGGCCCGGCGAAATTGCCAGACCGATTCGTGGGATGCGCAGACGCGAGAGGATAATGATAAACCTGTTTCGCTAATGAGAGCCGGAGATGTAGGTAACTCCGGCCTTATCCGGCCGATATATATCTCCCTCCGCGGGCTCTCTCTTTCTCGGCACCAGCTGTCAGAAACGCGCAGAAAAGCCGGCCTGGGAAACGATTCGACTTAAACTCGACTTAATTCCGCAAATTCCCAGACGAGGATCTCCGACTCCCCCGCGACTCCAAGAGATTCAGGTTAAGGCGGCGAGGAAGTTCGACTTATCAATGGGAACGTCTTTTAGCGTGATAATAGTAGGCATGATACTTTTCGTAACGAAACTTTTAAATTAAAAAAAAAAAAGAAAAGAAACGAAATGTATCGGTGTCTCCAATTTCATATTCCGTTACTCTTTGTTTCTATCTTAGCAGACTTGAAATTTTTTAAGTAAAAATTCACTTAGAAAAATTGTATAAATATTTGGAGTCTTTGTACATATATATGACAGTTTTATAACACCTTAGGTCGTTTGCACGTACGGATTGCATCTCACTGATTTCCCTAACGACTCCGAGGAGGGCCAGTTCTCGCCTGAGAATTCCTGGCGATTCCACGGCCAGAGTTTGCATATTAATATTCCCGGGGACGATTTAAGGGAAACAAATTGAACAAATCGTTTCGGGGAAGGTCGATCTCGAAATCGTTTGGAGTGCTCGATCGAGTCCGACTCGAGAGACTAGAAAAGCAATGTCGTTTTGCCCTGATAAGTTCGATCTCGATTCCTCGACGGATCGGAGCGAAGAAGTAGGGTTCGTCCGTGGACGCAGGTGTAATTCATTGATCCGATTGGCCAGCAGGTGAAACCGATCGGCCGCGATCCTCGAGTTGACCGCTCGCGATCGGATTACGCGTTTCTAGAAATGCGCACGGATCACCAGAGAAAAAAAAAATAATGAAAATAACGTTAACTAAATAAATTCCACGTATGCGTTTTCCCCAGTAAAATATGATTTATGCAATCAATTATCTTTTTCGGAATGTAGTTATACGCTGACAGTTTTGCTTTGGTTCCATAATCATACGTGGTGCAATTTACCAGATGTGCAATTTAAAATCGTACCTTTGTAAGGAATATTTTATTTCAATGTCCACCGTGTTAAATAGCATTTATGTACTTTTAAGGGTGTACGTTGCAGAATTTCACAGATAAGTGAAATATGAATCCCTGCCAAAAACATTTTCTGTCATTTTTGGGGACTCATTGCATTTTGTACAATTTACCCAACTTTACTGTGTGTAACTGGAATGAAATCGATTAATGTGTAAAAACGAGGCTGGCGGTGTTCGGCCCTCGACTCGGACTTCTCCGACCTCGAGGCGATCGGAGAATCGACGTAGAAAACGCGATTGAGAGGTTCGAGGCGAATCGCGAGCGACGCGAACCAATGACCCGCGAGGCAAGTGTCGCAATTGTAACGTCGAGGCCGGCGAGCGTATCGGGGCAGAGGAAGGGGCTCGGAGGAAAAGACATTTCGAACAATGAGGACTCGAACTTCCAAGCGAATCGAGCCGAAGTTCACAATGCTCGCCCTAGTTTGCCCGGGCACAGAATTCAGGGCTTAATAAAGCCGGGAATATATACCCCGGAGCGGCCGCGATTGCGGAGAATTAAGATGAGAATGAAATAAAAAAATTAGAGCCTCGATATCCAGGTCCCTTTGAATGGCGTTAAAAATTCCCGAAGCGATAATTCCTGGCTCCTCGGGCGACGAAAGAAACTCCAGAAATACAAAAAGAAAAAAAAAAAAGAGCATGAAGTATCTCCGGATAGCGACCGAGCAAAATTTCGCGGGCGAGTAATAAATTATTGAACGGGAACCACCGGACAGGTCGTGATATCGATTGCACCCTGTCACCTCGGGACCTTCAACCTCCCTTTCCTCGAATGGAGGGATGCGGCCCTCTCCTTGCTCCGATTAAACGACTTTTCGGTTCGTTAGCCTCCCTGTCGATCTTCCCGCTGGCCGATGAAAAGCGACGCCGTTGATTTTCCGACCCGGCTTAATTGTAATTCCCCTGCCACCCTCGTGTTAATCGGGCCCTTGGAAAACGAGGGAGGAACTTTCGGGAGAAAAAAAAAAAGAAACGCCAGTCCTTTCGCTTTTCCCCAGTTTCTCCGGAGCTCGTTACCGCGGCCGCCATGTTGGGCGATTTTGCGCGAGCGCATAATTGTTGCGGCGTTCAGGCGGGCTCCGGAAAATAAAACGGCCGGTTTAACGTTTAGTCGTAAACACGTGAACCAACGGCGTACATGCCGTAATGAGACAAGTGCCGGTATATAAATCAGCCGCGGCTTCGAAAAACCGTGGACACCTCGCGGGTCGCTCGTAAACTAACAGTACGTATGGAGTAATCACGGCCGCGTCATTGTCGGTGTCTAAATCAACGATAATTCACGACACGGCCGGCTGGGACTTTTTCCGCGTCTCCGATTGCACGGAAACGAGCCCGCGGAATTTCGAGCGGGTGCGAGCGGTTACATAGAAAAATTCGAAGTCCCCTCGATGGCGTTCCGAAGACGTCGAGGAGCCAATTGAGAAAAAGGAGAAGTCACCGGGTTTAAGTGACGAGCCTGTGGAAATGACGATTTATGGCGACGCGGCGGATTGGGGGCGACAAAACTGAGGAGAAAATCGGAAAGCAGGCATTTCTTTTCCCACCGTCAAGCGTTTATTGGGTGACGTAAACGCGCCTCGGGACTGCCGTAAATGGGCAATGGCGCCTGCACGAGTAACGCCGTTGATCTCCAAGTGGAGATCAAGAGACGTTAAAAGGCGCCCGGAGAGGAGAAACAATAAATTGATCCCGACGGAAGTAACATCGGTTACGTGACCTGAAATCCCGACGAGGACGTCTCCATCGGCCGGTGGATCCAGAAATCGCTCTTAAAGGCCCCTTTTTGCTTGCATTCCTCTCGACGGGATCGAAGAGGGGAACCTGCAAGAAACCGCTAATGCTTCTCCGCCATCGGCAGCTAGCCCTATACGGTACGAAACGCGCTGTAAACGCGCCTTTAACATCGCTTCGAGTAATTAAACACGTGCGTCGCCCCTTCTTCCCCCGCGCCTCTTGATTATTTCTCTCCTCCCGTCTCTCACATTTTATTTTTTTTTAATCA